GTGGATATAATTTTCCGACTTTGAAACTTTCAAAGTCTTATACTTGATTATAGTTTCAGGTGAGTTAGAATGTAGAGCAGGTCTTTGGCAGTGGAGTATCTGGCTTGTTGATGTTTTTGTCCTTGGAGTGTCACAGTGTTGCAGTGGGCAGCAGTCCAGCTGGGCAGAGACAGAAGGGCTCACACACTGAAGGGCACGTCACTTGCTATCATATATATTTACTTCTACTTTAGCCTTAATACATCACACAATACTGAGAGGACAAAGAACACAGCATACAGTTTAGCACAAACAACACCATGTGCACATACATGTATGTATATATGTATCAAGCACTATAGATCTCTTTAAATACAGATATTTCTAAAGCAACTGCTCTAATATCGCTTCAGAATGCAGTGTTTTTCAACACACTCCAACTGGGCTCCCTATGGGCCGATGGCTCTTATTGTATATCCTGGGTTTTAACTGTTTTATTCTCTGATCTGTTGTTGAGGAATCCACAATTTGTTACTGCTGTTGTGTTTTAGGGCTATGCATGAAATTGAATTTTTTATTTTGTTGATTGTGATTTGTAAGTAATTAAAGCTCCACTCACAAAAACAAGTTTTCTAAAACAATGTCTTCCTGATGACAACTTTTTAAACGTCACTAGTCTGATTTCCAAGAAATTGATTATCCCAGACACATTCTGTCTCAGCTCTCACTCTCACCTCTCCTGAACAGCCCATCCGTTTGCGGTCCCCTGTCTCCCAAAGGTGTCATTGTGTGTCTCTGCAGTGCTTCAGGGCACAGCTGCACATTGGGAGGTGTGCTGAGGCTGGATACTGTATTACAACAAAAAAGTCAGTCCTGAGCAATGAGACAGCAGGTCTGCTCACTTTGTACAGAGGGAATACATTAGTATGGAAGAGGACTTTTACTGTTCAGGTGGAAATTCTACTTTGCCTTTATTTTACATCATAGTAAAGTAAGTAGTAATGGCGATGATCAAGGACACTCAACTCCAACAACATTTATGGACATTTCTAAGTTCTAAGGAGTTACTTTTTCAATAATGTAGCTTAGTGCCAGACCTAAACAAGCTTCAGTCAGAATCGAAACTGATCAATTCTTTCTTGAATGTGAGGCGATGCTCTGTCTCTTTACCTGCATAAGACTCCAGTCCCAGTTCGTCCCCCACTGTGTCCCCTGCTGAAGAACCATCTGGCCCCTCCTCCCCTCTGCACCCGTCACACAGACACCTTCTCTGTTTAAATAGGACAGCCCATCTGGTGCTATCATTTTTTTTGTTACTTTATGAGACACCTGATTAATACATAGCTAAATCTATATTAATGCTGCAGCATTGGAACAACACTAATGATGCTATGTGTATGAAAAACACAATGTTAATTTAATGCATTATTTTTTGCCATTCATATGATAATGAGACTATATCATTTTAGGTTTTAGAATGTGAAATCTTATGTAGAAAATTTATGGTGAAGGGTTAAAAAACTTTCCTCCTGTAACTCCCTATGCTACCACCAGAGGGAGGGATAGAAATGGTTTTGCTTCCCCAAATTTCATTCTAGACATTGGATCATCCGAATAAATTCTAAAACTAATTTATGTGCACTACTTTTGTTTTATAATGCAGAAAACTGCGCTGAGCGTGGTGAAAACAAGAAAGGACCCAAAAGCAGAACTGCACAATAATATGATTTAATAAATGCCACAAGGTAGAAATCTATCCAAATGAAACCAGGGACAAGACATGAGGGAAGAAACAACGGACTGACAAGAGGAGGACAGGAGCACAGGGTCTGAATACTCAGCAGGAGACACAGGTGTAATACATCAGAGCGGGGCAACAATCAGTAGGACATACAGGAAGTAAAACGCAAATAACAATAGAACGGATATATATCAACCTAAAACCAGGTAAAAACAAATCTACAAGAAACAGTATTATACATTGTACGCATTATAATTATTTGTGTTCTATTACAGGAGTGAGACCGAAGTTTTTAGACATAAGGTGCCGAGTTACATGTTTGTTACAGAAGCTTCGTTGTAACATGGTTAAATGCTCAAAAAACCCAATTTTGCATAATATGTCTTCTGATACTTATTGATAATAAGTATCAGTACTTGCTCTTGTTCCAAATTTGGTTTAAGTATGGAGTGATATGAGATTTGTGATACTTTTAACCACCTTCATCTATACCCAGCGAGGCATAGAAGATTCCATAAGCTTCATATCCACTCTCTCCCCTCCTCTTTTGTCTCCATCCTGTCCTCCCACACACACATACATACACACAGACACACACAGAGACGCACAGAGACACACACTGGGGATAGACGGTGGGCAGCACGATAGCACAGCTCTTCTCCTGAGCTGGACGTGGGTGTGAGAGGAGCCAGAGCTGCAGAGAAAATGACTAATGTCCCTTCGTCTGCAGAACTAACGCTGCACCATGACTTTGCACAACTCAGACTTGTGAGCACACAGAGACGCGTTTCTTTTTCCTTACGTAATCCCCAAAGCACAATAAATGCTGTGTTTCTTGATCTTCATTCTAAATAATAGATCAACTTGAGAGATATTGATTGCACTTCTAGTCTATAATAGTCTTTGTAGTGTTAACAAAATGGTATAAAATTAGTGATTAAAAAATACTATTCCAGCCATAGACTATTGCATCTTACTAAACAAATAATTCTGCCTCCACAACCTGAAATAAAACCTCAATTCTGATGTTATACTTATCATGTTCAAATTCATATTTTCAGAGGCCCTTGACATTTTATTCTGTATGTATACATGCTAGCGCTGCACTTTTGCTTTTTTTTTTTAGATGACAAACTCTAGTGGCACCCTCATAACAGATTATAACAAGAGATTGGCTGGTTCTACCTCATTGTAAATATATTATTTTTACCGAGTTTATTTTACTCAAACATCACATCTCAGGGTTTCAGATTATTTTTATTTGCCATTTCCAGTTAAACCTAATTAAAATCACACACCAAAATGGATGTGCTAAAGTCCCCAATATGCCCCAGACAATTATATAAAACAATACCAGAAACAACCCGTGAAATCCATCAACAGAAACAGTTTCAACTGTTTTTAAACTAATAACAACTTGTGGGAGGAAGCTGTTAGCATATAAACAATAGTGAGATGAACAATATCTTCTGCCAGGAATATAGCTTTTCCAAGGTGGCCAGAAGAGTCAATCCCTAAATACAGTAATAATTATTAATAAAAAAAACAAAAATCAGACAGTACTCAGCCACATTTACTTCTGGTTCTGGCAAACTTCTGTTCAGAAAAAACTACCAAACAAGAACCTCAAAACCCTTTTGTAGAAAATTCCCACCATAGTGTGAAAACATTTTTACACATTGATAACCACAAATGTAAAAGATGAGCTATAAACAAACTTTCAAATTCTCCACTCCTACTAGAGCTACAACTAACGGTTATTTTGTAATCGATTAATCTATCGATTATTTTTACGATTAATAGAGTAATTGCTTGGCTGTGAAATGTGTAGAAAAAAATTATTTTTTCATCACAAAAAGCTAAAGTGGCAACACTCGAGGACGTATTGATGGCGTAAACTTAAAGTAAATGTTTGTAACAGGCTCTTTGTGCTAATTCTGCTATCTGATTGGATGAGACAGGCCGATATTCATGAAATTATAAAAACAAAGTCGGTTTTAATCAAAAATACTACATTTTCATGTCATTTTTGCTCTGTTTGAGTCCGTGTGAACCAGAAAACGATTAATCGATTACTAAAATAGTTGTCGACTATTTCAATAATCGATTAGTCGTCGATTAATCGATTAGTTGTTTCAGCCCTAACTCCTACTCAATAATAAAACGATTCCCATCAATCAGGTCTTATGATATGACCCGTGAAAAATGTCCTAATTGCACTAGCATTGACTCTTGCCACATGTTTATTTGCAGCCTTAAAAAACTGCCATTTAAATCAGTAATCGCCCTCAGAAATCCCATATCGTCGATTACACCATCCACCAAACAGTGCAGCTTACCTCTATTCAAAGATAAACTGAATCCTCCCAAAACACATGACGTTCAGTGTCCAGTGAAGCCAACAGGCATATTATTCAATCACTGCAATAAGGCAATGGTCCTCGTGATCCAAGGGGAATCCAAGATTTGTTCATAACCAAGTGTGTGTGTGTGTGTGTGTGTGTGTGTGTGTGTGTTAGTGGGGGCGGGTGCTGGCTCCAAAAAGTCCTTGCTTGCAATCTCTCTCCGGGCCGGTGGGGGTGGACCCAGAAAAATATTGTTACCCAATGCCTTTGTATGGCGTCTTCTTTCTTCTTTAGAAAAAGCCCACGGAAGGCATAAGTGGTGGCACATTAGTTTCAACGGCAAAGATGAGCATGACTACGTCTGTAAATGTTTGGCTTCTTCAATGCCTGTGATGGCTTAACTGGCAACAGAATTATCCAATGCATTCTTATGGTGCCTACAGCCCGGTCCAAAAGTCGGCTCTTGGCTCAACTCAAGAGGGGCTACTCCCGGCCATTTTGAAAAGCTCGACACGATGGAAAAGTGATCAAACATAAGTTTAAACGGCGGGGATAGGTGTCACTACGTCCATTAGTATTTACAATCTATGTTGTGTCTACCTTCTGCCCTTGAAAAACTGATCAAAATATTCATCCACTTTCCTTCTAATGGAGACTGGAGATGTTCTCAACCCACTCTGTACCAATCCATACCTGTGGAAAGGCTCTCTATGTTCCCTGGTTCATCAAATTCACATCAATACATTTTTGTATGGCCCAAAATTACAGCAGCAGTCGTCTCAAAGGATGTCATATTTTAGGATAGGATAAGAGTGATAACCCCTGTTCTTAAACCCTCCTCCATTCCTGTGCAAACACATCCTGCTTAGGTATAACATGCCATTGTAGCCATATTAACCTCATCAAAACACTGACAGGAAAGTCGTCTGTTGCAGATCACCAGCCTGCAGGACTTCTTTGGAGAGGACGACGTGTTCATAGCCTGTGGTCCAGAGAAGTTCCGCTATTCTAAGGACGACTTTGCGTTGGAGCAGAGTGGTAAGACCTGCAGAGCCTTAGTGACAGGTAAACATCACCACCACTGACCACACACTGTCTGTCCACGAGTACAATGCAGCATCTACATGTCTTAAGGCAGGAGTCTCCAACCTTTTTCAATCAGAGAGCTACTTTTATACGACAGAAGAGGCAGAGAGCAACTAAATAGCTAATAAAAATTGATGCGATAATTACGACAAAACATGTAAAATACACGATAATACTGTATAACCCTATATTTATACTTATAATAGATATGTGATGACTCAAAATGTATTCATTTGAGATCATGTGTTAAACTCTAAATCCCTTGGTCGAGCTACCTGAAAGGGGTTGGCGAGCTACCGGTAGCCTCCGAGCCACAGGTTGGAGACCCCAGTCTTAAGGCCTGTCCAGACAGACGCGGTTTCAGTCGTATCAGAAAAAGTGTTTTGTCAAATTCAGCTGTCGTCCAGATGGAGCCGGTGTATCTCCATGGCGAATAGAACAAACCGTCGTATTACGGGGACAAATGAAGGATCTCCTAATCCAGGGCAGTAGCGGCGCCAGGTTTGTAATTATGGGTAGGCCTGCAGATTAGTAAATAGGCATAATTCGCTCGCAAACTACAAGGGGTAGTTGAATTGGGGTTTCAAAGAATACGGTTCAAACGCACGCACTCAGGCGTGCACACAAACACACACGCACACGCACACATACACGTTTTTGTTACCTGGTGGGTCCCTTTGACAGGGCCGTTCAGAATGGGACCCATAGACATAATCTTTTTTTACTGGGACTACTTTAAGTAATACAAAACAGTCAATAGAAACCAAACAACTATTTTAAAGGAATTTTATTTTAGATTTTTTTTTCGAATTGCAGTGATTCTATTTTTGACATAGAATTTAATGCCACTCCATGTCCGATGTCTAAGGTCATCTGGTGAGGCATTAATGCAGGCCAGGCAGTGAGACTTCCCAGGGACCTTTCCAGTCTGTATGAAAGGTGTCATGGTCTTCTCCACAGCCTTCACCTCAGATGCAGACCATGGCTTTCTTACACGTTCTAGGGAGAGAAATAAAAATATATTAGCAATATACACTCCCAGGGTTAGGACCAAGCAGCCTGGCTGTAATCCCCCACCTGGTACACTTACCAGAAGGGGCACTGCCACTACCATGGGGTGCATCTGGATGAATGGTTGAAGGTTCTCCGCTTGAAGTTTCTTTTAGCCCGTCCGTTTGTGAGAGGATCTCTACTGCTCTCCCTGTCGCACAGAAAATAAAAATACAAGTGGCCTTTAGGGGAAAAAAATCATACATATTTTAATAATATCAAGAATTACCTTCAGGCTCAATTTGTATCTGGTCGAGGCTCTTTCCTTCGAATTCCGTCACTCTTCCCTGCTCCATGGCCATCAACACTTTGCTGATTTTGGCCAGCTCCAGTGTCCCCTCTGGTAGTCTGTAATATTGCCTGTGGATGCGAATGTCATGGCCGAGGAAGTTGGCAAGTATGTCCATCTCATTCTCTTTCATATTGAGAACTGTAGACATAGTAGCTATGTGCTTTCTAAGTTTGGTTGAGGATAGCATCTCTGGATGCACCGCACCACATTCTTTGGCTACCTGGCGTAGGGAGTCTGATCCCCTGATGTGGGTGTCTGCGCCCGGGCGGGAAAAGAAGTATGGGTTATGGTCAGAGATGGAACAGGCCCTTCTGTTCTCCACCAGCACCTCCATCGAAGCAATCATTTCAGGAGTCAAAAGAACCGGCACTTTCCGACTTCTTTTCCCTTTAATTTCAATGCGTTGAAAATGCTGACACAGCTTTTTCTCAAGTTGGGACAGTCCCAGAGCAATGTCAGAATGGATCCCAGTCTTACTTCTTAAGGTAAACGCTGTCAGTGGCAACTTTGAAACCTCACCTTCCCTTCTTCGATTGAAAATAATGACCTCACAAAGAGTCAAAACTGCCAGTTTAGACCAATGCTTAGACGTTGGCTCACTTATTAGGGTTTGCACATATTCAGGTCGACATACCTCAATATGTGCATGCATGGCTCTAACGTCCTCAGTCAGAGGGAGCAGGTCCGGAGTGTTCCACTTGGCTTGCCGGAGGGTCTGTAGGGCAGCAGAAGAAACACAGACGTCCCACCTCTTCTCAAAAAGCAGCCGGCTTCGTTGGAGGTTTTTAATAAATAGTTCATCAACACAATGCTCCATTTTTGAGTCACATTCAAGAATATCTGCTAGCTTTCTGAGGCTATGGCCGAGTTTGAGGGCCAAGGATGGAGTCTTGTATTGATTTGTTTCCTCATCATATCCAGCCACAGACCTGACTGCATCAATCACATGGTTAAAGTTGGAAGGAATAAAGAAATCCTTAATTGTTTTCAGTTTCCCTGCAGTTTTTGCATCGTTAATTAACCTACCGACTTCTCTCATTTTCTGCCTAATGTAATCATGCTTAGTCTTATCATGCCCGTGTTTTAAGTACAGGTGCTCTCCGAGTCTCAGAATCCCCTTTTCTGCTTTGACAACACCCGTGACCTCATCCTGATGCATTGCCGAAATTAAAGACCACAGCTTTTTGCTGATGCCCTCCGGTACAGGCTGGGCTAGGGAGCAGAGGGACTGGACCCTACTTCTACCTGGTTTAGCCTGGGCATCTTTCTGTGAAAGCCGGCACCTGGCCACATGCCTCCACAGCGACTTTCGCTTAAGCAATGCCCCACAGTCTATACAGTGCAAAAACTCACTGGATTTAACTGGGCAATTTGGCTGTTTAGCTGGGACTAAAGTTCCAATGCCGGCCTTTAAAACCTCAAAATTGTGCTCACGGTTTCCACTATTCCTGATCAAATCAAACTGAAGTTTACGTGCTTTAGATTTCACAGGTAGAGCCAATGCTCTGGCTACGTCACTTTCATTTCCATGTTTTCTAGTCAAATGACGGGACATTTTGTGGCAGGACATTGAACAGTAGAGGCAGAAGTGTCTCTTGCTATAAACTCGCCCCCCATTTTTCTTCTTTTGCAGCTGCATGATAACAATCTTATTTGCCTTTGGTTCGTCACTTTCCGAGTCTTGAAGAAAAGTGTTTTTGATTTTTCTTTTTCCATACTTTTTTACAGGTTTCTTCTTGACAGTTAAATCGTCAGAATCTGAGTCGACTTCATCAATTAGGGACTCTTGACTAAGCTGCACAAACAACAAATAATTTGTAATAATTCTATATAACAATTTGAAGTCATGACTTGTAGTCAGCACTTACCAGTGGTTTGTAAGCGTGCGCTTCAGTGTGCTCCTCCATGATTTCTTGCAGCCTAATGAACCACACACTTGCACCTTTTTCTAGCCTGACACCTGATTTCCTCTGTTGTGCTGCTCCATGATTGGCTCCAGCCTGCTGGACTGAAATTGCCCCAGTGTGCCCCTCCTTGATATCCCGCAACCCACCACCAGGGTTCCGACACATAACACACTTTTTTCAGGAAAGTAAACCTCCAGGGGTCCTTTCCATATTTTTACAGAGACTGCATAAGGACCGTTGGAAAAGCATTACCCATTGATTATTAAGCTTGGACCAGTGGGGTCCGGTGTTCGGGCCCCACCACGTAAAACCAGTCCCCATGACGTGAGCGGAATCTCAGGTTATGGAACCCACCAGGAGTTGAAAACAAGTGCACTCAAGCGCGCACACAAACACGCACGCACACACACGCGCACGCCTGGAGTTTACCTCATTAGTGCGAAGCCATCCTGCATGGCCTGACTGCGCTCTCCTCTTCTGTGACCTACAGGGCCGGGCCTCTGGCTACTCTACCTCACGAAGTTCACGCTGAACTTTCTTAAAACTAGAAATAAAAAGGCTACTCTGTTGTGAATGTTTTGAGAGCATTGTGAATCTTGAAGATGAGGAATAGCTGATTGTTTTCGGGGAACGAGCTTTGCGCTGTGTGATATGATCATGCAGATCATTGGACAAAGTTTTCAACGAATAATTGGAACTATATTTCGAAGCAACGTAGGAACGTGATGACGCTCAGAGGGTTATATTTTCTAAAAACCTTAGAACACAACATTTAGGCAATAATTTGTGTATAATAATAATCAAATTATGACCTATACATAAAAAAGACTCATGACTTGAGAGGCAAAGAACAAATTTGAGTAAGCCAGGAAAAAACGTGGTAAGCACAGGCCTACCCAGGCCTTCCCAGGCCTACCCCTGGCGCCGCGGCTGATCCAGGGGGTGTCAAACTCTTTTTGGTCAGAGGCTAAATTATAAAAATATGAACTGGTCGGGGGATTTTTTTCTTCATATAATTGTTTTATACATGATGAAAGGGTTTGACATTAGATGTATAGAGGTATGACATGCCTTGGTTTACCATTACCATAAAAAGCAAATTATAATAACTGAAAATCACTTTACCAAGACTCTTTCTATTGGAATAAACAGTATGCATTACTTATGGAACAAAACAAAGTTAGGTCCCCCAGCTTTAAGACCTTCATCAAAGCTCCACAAGTGTTGGCCGGAAGTTTATTTTTATCCAAAGTATTGACATCCTGTCGGAATGTCAGTTGTTATTCCAGGTTTGCTGTGGGCCTAAATGCATTGTGCTCAGTGCTCGCTGCTGCTGACATGAGGGAGGATGATGAGGCCTGACGTATCCAGACTTATGTCCCAGTTATTCTCTGGTGTTCCACTTTGAGGAGGCGGTCTGAACCAGCAACACTGTACTGCAGCGCTGAGGGGACGAGCAACATGTACAGGCCAACAAAGAGTCTACACCACAGATAATAACTAGTACTTTATGGACATCTGTACACACACCGCTTACAGCTACATTAAACAAGAAAGTATCTTTTATCCACATATGGGTGCACTTAAAAATCCTCATTGAATATGATGTTGTAACATAACACTTAACCAACAGCTGATGGCAAAAAAACGAAGCCGATGACTGTTTTAACTGGACACAAGATTTAATGATGGAGGCAAAAACTAATGAGTCTATAAACTATGTTCAGACAATAGCACAATTCATACAATAGCAAATCCTGCATACTTCACTGCACTTCCTTGTGTCTCTCTCTCTGCTGTTCACATAAACACATTGATGCAGGAATGTGTGCTACAGGATCAGCTCTGGAGATCTACAGCAGAAAGAACTGTGTCCAAATCCCAAATCCATCCCTCCACTCCAGAGGGCACTCATACAAAATAAAAATACATACATTGGCCGCATCGTTTTAAAGAGTAGCGACTTATCTTTCTTCTTGTTTGACAGCAAGTACTATACATAAATACTATACATCAATACTCAATATTGTTGCCTTATTGAACAGCCAAAAGCCTGCATAACAGCAGAGAGAAATTGGAAAGGAAAAATGGTTATACATTGTTTTTTTTTGCTAAAACGGCTGTGTGTGTGTCAGAATGCAGAGGGCCCAAGTCTTCGTCTCACAGTCGATCTGTTACCCCCAACCGCACCAAGAGCCCCGGCCTCACACGGAGGAGCAAGTCCCCCGCCTCCGGTACCAGACGCTACTTTACTATGTGGTCTATGTAGCACTCTGATGGCAGAAAAACCACGTCCTCTCTGTACACTGAACACACAAAAACACACAAGTTTTCAATCAATTTACAAACTCTCGGTTTCTCCCATACACAGTATGTGAGTGAAATCAAGTTAGAGGTATTTACTACAATAGCCTTTTACAACAGGTCGTACACAAGAGCAAGAAAACCAGTGGAGCACAATGTTTTATTTGCTTGTGTCATATTGAATTGCTGTAAACTTAAACACTTTTACCAGTTTGTACCATTGTTAGTGGAAAGTGTATTTGATTTTCCGATTGTGGTTAGAACACTGAAACTGTAACATGTGTATTAAAGCCCACAGAGGCACACGAGAGAAAAACCAATTAGATAAAACTAAACTAAAGGGTGAACAGCTGAGATAGAATTAGATTTTGTTGTCAATAATAGCAGCGATATTCTAACAGATCTATTCATTATGTTTACTCTGATGATCTCAAATAACATTTTCTGTTTGTACCTTTTCAATCTTTAAACAGCGAGACGACCTGTCCACTTTGCCAGCAGCCGGTCCACCAGCAAGTCTCCAAGTAAGATGAAATTAAAAGAAATTAAAAAAGATAGTTAAATGAAAATGGGGTGTGGACTTGGGTGATTGGTTTATTTTGTGATTTTTCGCTTCTTATATTGGTCTGACTCAAGCTATGGACTTTCAGCTTTTCAAAAAGTTGCCATAAACGATATAGAATTCATACCAATACCATCAAATTAGTGCTGAAAGTCACCCATCTCCTGAGAAGTGTTACATTTTCTGTTTTTTGTTCTTATTTTTCTTGTTGAAATCTTTGTTTGCAGCAAATGGTTTCTCGAGCAGCCAGTCGTCTTCTTCTAGATCAACCAAATCTTCCACTCCGTCTCCCACCAGCCCCAGAACCGCTCCCGGATTTAAGGTTACATTTATCATTTTGGGTTCTTCCTTATAAAGTTTCTTTCTGTGCAAATCTGAAAATGTAAGATGGAATTATGACTGTATATAACTGTATCCATGTTTCCACATACGTTTTGTGTTCACTTACAGATTTAGATCAGTCCGTTCATTCGTTATTATTATTTTAGTTAGGGTTACTTTTACCATATTTATCGGGCGGCACGGTGGCTACATAGCACTCTCGCTTCTCAGCAAGAAGGTCCTTGGTTTGAATTTCAGTCGGAACAGGGCCTTTCTGAGTGGAGTTTGCATGTTCTCCCCGTGTCTGCCTAGGTTTCCGCCAGGTACTCCGGTTTCCCCTACCACTAAAAACATGTCCAATAGTTCTGGCATGCGCCTCCTGTACTGGCGACCCCGCTCCCATCTCTGTGTGGAGTGAGATGACAAATGCCCAAAAAGTAACAATTTGAAACCGCTTTGTGACTCTGGTCTGTGAAAGGCGGTATATAAATAAATAAAGAAAGAGATATTTATTCATTTATTTTTCTCTACTATTTCTTATCAAATTGTTGTATTTATTATCAACAGAAAACACAAAGAAGAACATTCATAAACACATACAGACAGGTCCAGAACTGAAAAGTAAAGAAAACAAATATTTAAACAATATTTACAGGGATTAAATTACTAATAATAATTATATGAAAGAAGACAGCGATTGAGGGGGCTTCCATCTTGTATTTTCTGGTATTGTTTTAAAGTTGATTTATGTAGGTTTACCTTTATTTGCTGCGAGTGAATATAAAGTACTCTTTTAACAGATTCAACTGTGTTATCACTGGAAATTTCTTTTTGCACTGTTATAAAATAGAATAAAAGGAATACTTTTTAATGTTACCACAGAGAGGTCTCACACATGTTTCATTCTTCTCAAATATCAAATATATTCAATTAAGTTCTTCAATAGTAAAGCCTTCACACATTAGCTTCATTCAAATAATCGTTCATCATAACTTCAAATAAAAACATGTCTCTAAATATCTCTGAATACGTCTGAATTTTCAACAATATTTTATGCTCAAACCAACATGTATTATTCTTCATCTCTAAAGCTTCCTATTTCAAACGGCGTCTCGTTGCACACGAACGGAGCCGTGACCAACCACCAAGAGCAGAGCAACCTCAGTCCAGAAGGTACATATACACATGTTTTATTAGACAGTTCATGATCTCACAGCCGTGCACTTTCTTCAGGCATGCATTTCAATAGTAATAGTAAACATGTTTGTAACATGTTGTATATTGCGGTTCTCAACTGGTGGGTCAGGACCTAAAGGTGGGTCACTGGATATTTTTTAGTTTCTTCCCTGGGTTACATTTGAAAAAATATCTATGTTTTGTTTTGTGACTTTATTTTGTATTAACTATACCAGAGTGTTTTGATTATCACGAGTCAATAGTTAAAACACCTTGTTATTAAATCATGTCTCCAGTTAAAACAGTTGTCTATCAGTTTGGTTTTACTCCATCAGCTTTTGGTTTAGTTTTGGGTTACAACACAAAAACCTACAGCTTAAATTCAAGTGTGGCGCCTATATGTGTACAAGACTGCTTTCTTTTCCAAATTCAAGAACATTCAGGAATTTATTTGCCATTTGCAGTAAAACCAGCTGAGGCAGTTTATACTCTAAGTTTATGCTCTAAAAGTCTAGTAAAAACTGTATTATTTGTTATTGTTTTTGGTTTTTTCTACAGTCAATGGAAACCAATGTCTACAAGCTTCGCCCATCTCTGAAAAGTACAAGGTCGGCAAAGTGATTGGTGACGGGAACTTCGCTGTGGTCAAAGAGTGTGTGGAGAGGTCAGTACCGCTGCTACAACTTTACATTAGAGAAAATAATGAAAATGTTGTAGCAGAAGCAAAGTTCTCTGTAATTATCTCATCATTGAAATGAAAATGGTGTAATCAAATGAAACTAGGTCATTATGGGGTTCAAAATGCAGTCATTGCAATGTTGTTTTTTGTTTCTAAAATAGTTTAAAGTCAGAGGTGGTACATGTCACAGTGTTGAATAAGTGCCTTAGATGCTTGGAATTAGCATCTTTCTACAAAGGCTTTAGTTGAATAATCAAGGTCAAGTTTAATCCTACAGTATGTATTTTAGATTAGTTTCAGTAACCTGTATGCACGTCTCACAGTATCGCAGAATACTATTACATCAAAATACAAGTCTTATTAGAACTTTTTTTTTATTGCTTGCATACTTGTAAGAAAGAGCCCTGTGAGGTACTATATGATGCCTATTAGCGGATTGGCTGTTTTATACCCTTCTGTCTGAAAAAGCTGATCAAAAGATATGACATGCATTTCAGGAATATTTGTTTGAGGTACCCCAGCTTTAATGTATTATTTATCTATTGGACTTCTTTTGTTTTTTGCCGATCGGACCTCAGCAGTGGGCCGTAAACGAGGATGAGACAGTGTTGCAGACTCAGAGCTGCTTTTATGGCGCTCTGTAATTCCCTGAGTCTCATTAATTTGTTTGTGCGCAGGTCCACGGGAAAAGAGTTTGCACTGAAGATCATCGACAAAGCAAAGTGCGCCGGCAAGGTACCTCCAGGGACGGGCTCATTACAAAGTGCATAGTGTTTGGTTGGTCTTAGGCGCTCTCTCATGCTATTTTAACAAAAGCCAAACTAGGAAAGCGCCTCACCTTTCATGGCCTCACTGTTTCTCTTTTTTTTGTGTATGCAATTTTGTATTCTTATTTCTCGCCGTGATTGTGTGTATACTTCAACAACATCATTCACAACATCAAGAAAACAAGAAAACTTACCTACTAATCTTGCGTCTTGCGTGCATTGCGGTGACTAGCTCAGAGGACAACCGCGGTCTTCCTGTAGCCCTCTGTCATGCTCTTGCCCCTTGCGTCCTCTGCAGCTGTATTTTTTCAGTGTATGCACGGCTTTTAACAGCTGCAGCAGCGCTCACACCTACAACAAAATGGTTTTTCTAGTCCTGCCATCACACTTCAGCAGTCGTGAGCTCAGGTGGTTAGAAAAGCGTGTGTATTTACAGCCAAAAAACATAGCTGCTACTTTGCGGATTTAGCTCATTGCCGGGTTTTATTTTTTCAGTGGTCCCTGTGATAATTGAGGGACCACTGTTCTACTCTTCCAGTCTCACCCAACCTGATAGTTTTCCACTCTGCATTATTGAGGTCTCCCCAGTCCCACCATAACAGTCGAGCAGTCATTCATGAAGTAAATGATATGCACTCTTGGACACTTCCTGATCCTGTACCTTGAAAAATAATAATAACATACATTGGGTGTCAATTATTCATTAACGGAACAAAGACCCCACAAATACACAGTCTGATCTATGATAAAATATAAACCTGACTTCTAACCTTATATGTACTGTATATAGAAAAATATGTACACATACACAAAAACATATAGTAATGTTTTGGAAAACTACAATGTCTTTTGGTAACACTACTTAAGTAATCTATTTGTTTTGGTTCTGTTTGGTCTTGTCTTGACACTGTATGTATTTTAGGTTTTAAAATAAGCACATACTGACTGGTCCTGTGTCTGTTTGCAGGAGCACCTGATCGAGAGCGAGGTGGCGGTGTTACGCAAAGTGAAGCATCCCAACATCATCATGCTCCTGGAGGAAGTGGACACGCCAGCCGAGCTCTACCTGGTCATGGAGCTGGTCAAGGTGCTACTTCTACCACTACTTTTACTTTTACTAGCCTATGGAATCACTCATTTGTCCGGTTCTGCACCACAAGGCCTAGCAAAGGTTAATGTTAAGGTACACTTTATTATCCTTGTACGAAAACGTTGTCCTCTGCATTTGACCCATCCTTGAATGCAACTTGAGCTTATGTCAAGAGAAATGGTCACCACCTATAAGGCATGTTTTGGGTGGTGGGGGGGGAAACTGGAGCACACGGAGGAAACTCCCCCAGTCATGGGGAGAACATGCAAACTCCACTCGGAAAGGCTTGGTCCGACACAAGGTCCAACCCAGGACCTACTAGTTGTGTGAAGCAGCCACCATTATAATTTGTGTTACAATGGACTGAGCTACTGGAACTTTTGCATACAGTAGCTAGCTAGTAGTTACTAGTAGTGAAAAAATACTTCAATCAATAAAGTACGCCCAAAATAAAGTTTGTTCTCTTCCTAGAGACATTTAATAATAATAATGCTTTGGTTTTATATAGCACTTGTCGCGACTCAAGACACAAGACACATGGTACTATTCATTCATATTACTGTAGCCACATAGTGTAAATTAAAAAATGTCTTTGATCTTCTTGATAATAAGCATTATTTTGAAATGGTTTTATATCAAATAGCACGATTTATTATAGCATAATTAATTCAGCATGTATTGATGCTTTGAACTATCAATATATTCAAATGTATATAAAAGCAGGGATTATGAGTTCCTGGCATGAACATTTCTGGATCCTCTTCCATTTGTAATATCAATGTGTTAAATAAAAACACAACTTCACATTTTTTTGTTTTTATCTTTGTTAGGGATCATTGGTTGGAAGGATCAACTGTAAAATACTTTTCTGTTGCTCCTCATTTATTTTTTAGTAATATGTATGTTTTTTACACATACATATCATAGCAAAGGAAGGTTTCTCACCCATCATCTGTACTTCTTAGCAAGTTTTCCCGACGTTTCGTCCTCAACCTGGGGACTTCTTCAGGGAATTCCCTGAAGAAGTCCCCAGGTTGAGGACGAAACGTCGGGAAAACTTGCTAAGAAGTACAGATGATGGGTGAGAAACCTTCCTTTGCTTTGACTAATCCCTGTACGACTGAGGGCTTACACAAACATACATATCATAGTAATTCTCACAACATATGTATTTATTTCCACTTTCCAAACCAGGTAAAATCAAAATAGAGGTAATATTCAGAGAGAACATTGTTAGAACTAATACCATATGTTTTAAATAATGTGTTTTTGCTGAATTGTTGTGTGTGCAGGGAGGCGATCTGTTTGACGCCATCACCTCCTCAGCCAAGTACACAGAGAGAGACGCCAGTGTCATGGTGTACAACTTGGCCGCCGCCCTGAAGTACTTACACAGCGTCCACATCGTACACAGAGACATCAAACCGGAGAACCTGCTGGTGAGGCTACATTTGAGACCATAAATAGTTAAAGGCAATTACAGTTTTTTATGGGGAGGTAATAATTGCTCATCACATTCAGCACTTACTGTGTAGTATTGTACCTATTATTCGCTACATGCCATAATACTGACCTAAGACGGCTAGGTAATGGAAACGGGTTCTTTGACTTCCCGTTCAAAATTGTCAACAGTTATTAGGCGATATCATACAATCCAATTCAATATATTTTTGTATAACTCTAAATCTTAACAGTGATAATCTTGGAGGACTTTACATTTACAAAAGTGTCAAATTCGACAAAAAAGATCAGAGAGACGTGTTGACCGTTTCACTGTGTTACTTGGTTTTTTACATTATCATGAAAAGTCCCTTGTGTGACTTGGTGCAATGTTAAAACTGACCCACATGTAAGTAACTGCTATATTTGGTCTGACACTGAACAACAAAAAAACAAGGTCGTTTTTTGAGGCGGGTTAAACGGCCGTTATCTGACCCAAATTTCACTCACTGGAAGCACAAAAACAATGCTTTTTGTTTAGTTACTTGGGTACATGGGCGGGGGGGAGGTGGTAGGTGAAACCAATATTGTTTTGCACTGAACTTCAAATGCAGGACAAAACAAAATTGCTCAAACCTGCAATGACGAATTAGATCAGTCTCCTTTCATGTTTTTGTATGTGTTTTAGGTGTTTGAGTATCCGGATGGGACCAAATCTCTGAAGTTGGGGGACTTCGGGCTGGCCACAGTGGTGGAGGGGCCCTTGTACACTGTCTGCGGGACCCCCACTTATGTGGCCCCAGAAATCATCTCAGAGTCTGGGTAAAGAACACACTCAAGTGGATCATGTGGATTTGTTTTTTAGCCTTCTTTATGCACTGGTAATGACTTTGGATATACCAATACTACTACTACAACTACTACTACTACCACCAAACTCGAAATATTACTAATAGTACTGCTTCAACACTTCAACAATAACAACTACTACTACTACTACTACAACTACTTACTGTATTTTACTACCACACTCAAAATATTACGATTCGTACTGCTACCACACTTCAAGTACTACTACTACTACTACTACTACTACTACCAAACTCAAAATATTACTATTAGTACTGCTACCAAACTCAAAATATGACTATTGATACTGCTAACACACTTCAACAACGACTACTACTACTACTACTACAACCCTCATATAATACAACTATAAAACATAATACAACAACCCCCAATACTTTTACTAGTACTACTACTACTACTACAATAACAACCCACAAATACAACTAATACATTGCTGAACTACTGTGATTTACATGAATATTCTTTTCATACCAACAGCTACGGTCTGAAAGTGGACGTCTGGGCAGCAGGGGTTATCACATACATTCTGCTGTGTGGCTTCCCTCCGTTCAGAAGGTGCTCCTCTGTCTCATTTCACTTCAGAAATACATACTGTAATCTAAACTTGTAGTATGTTTGTTAAAGCCTTGTGTTTCTGTGTTTGCAGTGAGAGCGGTCAGCAGGAGGAGCTGTTTGAGCAGATCCTCCAGGGGCGACTGGACTTCCCCACCCCCTACTGGGACCACATCAGCCACTCAGCCAAGGTCACTCCCCACACATTTCACAATATCCACAATATCAGCATTTACCTAAGAGATTTATAAGGATAACAAACTATTTTCAGATTATAATGACACAAGAAACTCCTATTCTGATCCTGACCAGAAGTTTCCATCCCCTAGTTCTCAATAGCGTCTTTTTCCCATTTTACATCTATGACAGCTTGGAGTCATAGAGTTGTGGATGAGGGTCTTCATCCTCTCTGATGGTAAAGCTGCACAATCTCAGGAAAAAGACTCCTGGGCTGTTGTTTTAATGAGGATGTTATATTAGGCATTCTACTACTACTGCTAACACACTCCAAATACTACTACTAATACTACTGCCACTACTAGTAAATACGTAGATAGATAGAAGCAGAAACACTTCCATCCATAAAAAACATACATATAGTTCTAACTTACTAACTAACACTAATATTACCACACTCTCTGACATTCACTTCAAAAGCTATAGAAAAAAAAGGTATCCTCGGTAGATGACATTAGAAGCTGATAGTGTGGTGGTATTTTAGGAGCAAAGGCTGCCCTCCCTGACTCAGCCAAACCCATATCTCACCTCCACAACTGCTGGCTCTCCTTGTAGTGCACACTCGCACACGGCTAAATCAATAAACACACCTTAATTATGCGTTCAACCTTTTATACCATCAGTTTGTTGCGGAACTTAGAATTACCTCGGTGTTCCTCGGAAATATCTATTCACCATGAAATGTGACCATATAAAAACTGCCTCTGCTCGAGCCTTGAAGAAAGAAGCCAGTTGTAGGTGCATGTCAAGGCCTTATTTATTATGAAGTGTGTAAATAATTATCATCAAACAAGAAATATTATGCATTATGACCGAGACAGGCCTCCTCTCTGACTATGTTTAAAACCAAGTTAAAGACTGTGCTGTTTAGCTGTGCATACAACTGAGGGATTTTATATTTTTATCTTTCTTTTTAATGTTTTGTGATTATTTATGATTTTAATGCTATCTTGTTCAGCACTTTGAGTTGCCTTGTGTATGAATTGTGCTATACAAATAAACTTGCCTTGCCTTGCCATGACAGTGAGACTATTTACTTTGTCATTTCATGTTTTAGAATGTGAAATAATACAAACTCTTTGGTGAAAAAAAGTTTTCTACCTGCCCTATCCGACACTATGCATCCTCCAGAGAGAGGTGTAGAATGTGTTTTGTTTTTCTCATAATTAGAAAATTACCAGCTGCAAACACAGAAAGGTGATTGTAAATACTGTAATTTAACCTCGGAAAATTCCAAATGGTATTTATGGGCAGTATTTTTGCTCTAAAAGCCAAAGTAATTTCCTAGTCTGTGATTCCCTGTTACTTACATGGCATTCTGATTCTGATTAAAAAGGCAGAAAACTGCTCTGAGCGTGATGTCATAGTGGGTTAAGACAAGACAGAGACTGGATCTTTTAGACAGACGGGGCCATTCACAGAACAAGACCAGAGTCTGTATAGTCTGTAGCGTACGGATTGACTTCAAAGTCTATTTTAGTGACCATATAATGTGCTTTTCTAAATATACTGCGGTCCCTCGTTTATGGCGGGGGTACATTCTAATAATAACCCGCTATAAGTGAAATCTGCAAAGCCTTTGTACCATGAGGAGTATTTTTTCTGTGTTTTGTGCAGGAGCTGATAGGACAGATGCTGCTGGTGAATTCCGAGGCCCGGTTCAGTGCTGTGGACGTCCTGTCTCACCCCTGGGTCACCGTCTCCTGCTACAATGTGAGCAGAAGAGTTTGCCGCAAGTCAACTGTGGACATTACTTGCTAAGCTATCATCATTATGTATTATTATATATTAGTTTGATTTTGTGGTTTGAGCTTTAGTTGTCTCCGCTCTTTTCGTCTTCTCCTTAAAGCTCTACACAGGTGCATTTTTCTTTGCGTCATGTTTTTTAACGCTTCATTACAAGCGTTTGAAAGAACCCTTTATTTATCCTTGTGGGGAACTTTGTCCTCTGCATTGTGACCCATCCTTCCAATGCCACTTAAGCAGGTGTCTCCAAACTTTCTCACCCAGAGAGCTGCTTTCCCGGGATGATAAAGGCAGAGAGCTACTCTTTTAAACGGCCCTGGGAAAGATTTGGTGATATATTGGTGTGAACAAGCCTGATATTGGGTACAGTCATTATTTATCATTGTATATTTGTTACTAGTGACAATGTAAGTGTATTTAGAATGATAAATAATAATAATGAATAATACAATCTGAAATATACAGTATATTATTTAATTTGTTCATTTCTAAATCCTTTGGTGAGCTACCTGGAGGGGGTTGGCGAGCTACTTGTGGCTCCCAAGCAACAGGTTGAAGACCCCTGCTCTTGGCCCTCTTTCAGGAGCACAGATGTTGATGCTCGGCTCGACCAGCACCACCGGAGCTGGAGGATTTTCGCCTATTGCTTATGTTATTAGTGGTAATGGACATCGGAAGAACTTGCAAATTCCATTCATAAATGCCCTGCTCTGACTGTGCACCGGATCTTTTTATACCTGCTTTTTTACACATTTTTCAAGATTTCAGAGCTATTGTGTCTCATTATCAAAATAAGCCATTGTTCAGATAATGTAAAAAAACAGAGATAATGGGTTGGGATTGGGGACCACTGCTATAATCTGTTCGTCTAATAAGACATTATTTTGTATGTATTTCCCAATAGGAGGAGGTTGTGGCAGAGAACAACATGAAGATGGAAGTGTCTGGGAAACTGAGGACTCATTTTAACCCAGCACCAAAATACAACCCCACCACAGCTGGAGTCTCGGTCATCATGGTATGGACATAAAACACACACTCTATGTATACAAGTTAAGTTAATATAAGTTTATTTTCAAACTGAGAAGACGTTTTGAAGACAAGCAGGTTAGAGCCTCCTCTGCTCACATCCACATCCTGATTGGTCAAAATAAATTCAAACCCTCAAAGGTTCCTCATCATTGGCTTAACTGTTCTCCTCCAGAAAATCTTACTGGTTCGAAGTAATGTCAAGGGGAGTGACCACTTTATTTTTACTTACTGTACATGATAGTACAGTGGTCAGAAACACATTCTTTTGAAAATGAAACTCAATTACAGTGGCTGAGATTTCCTTTATGTCAGATTTAAGCTACAGTTTATAAGTGCTCTAAAACACTACTTTATGACGGCTCGTGCTCAGGGAAAAGTTGCCAGCAGTAGGTTTTTGGCTATCCCACCCTTGTTCCAAATATACTATCCAACATGTCTGGCCTAAATACGTACACAACATTTGGACTTCAGAAATGGGCCAAGAATATGTGTGACCTCGTTCCTCCTCCACCAGACGACAGCCGAGAGCAATAGATTAGGGATTTCAGCCTCAAGAAGTGCATCTGCAACATGGTATTAGCCGTAGCTTGAAATATCCCAATATCATATTTTGGTATCGGTTCTGGTTGATTTCTTCAGTATTGTATTTATATTTTTCATTATTTTACTTTTTTTTTACCACTCAAGTGATTAGTCTTGTCCAGCCTACTGGTCAAAGCAACAACACAAGCTAATTATACACAAACTTGTATTAGTCACTGAAAGTGTTGGAGTTTGTTTTATTCAATTTTTTGACACCAATATTTTAACTTTTACTGCAAATGAATCTTATTTTATATCAATCTCCTTCTCGACTAAATGGCCATAAATAAAAAACATATTCTAAGCCTCTCGTTTGAATACAATTGTTCTGCTAGATTGTATCTAAGCTCCTTTGTTCATTATTAGTAGGAATCATAACCCAACAAACACAATGGAGATAGCTGTAAATGCTCCTTTAGATGTTTTTAAATGATTTTTTTTACAATATTTAAATGATGGAGACATGTTGGGCTGTATTCAATTATTAAGTTTTACTTCAATTTGCATTGCCCTTAATTACAACAGCAATGCAATAATAACAAACACATATGAGCCATTGGTCCATAGGGAGCGGGACGAGCGATGTCCATAAATGTCGTTAAACGTGCATAAATATTTTGTTGTCATCTAAATGTACAGTACACTCACTCATACATCCATAGCACCATCTCCATCCGCTGCCTTCACTTTCTCTCCTCCCTCTCTCCGTCTGAGCGTGCAAGTGTGTGAGTGGTCCACTGGTCACTCATTGTCTGACCGTGTCCTAAATCTCATTTGACAGTTTGAGGTGTAAAGGCTCCTCCACTCTGCCCCCTCCTCTCCCCTCTTCACATCCATCCACACGCCCCGGGACCGCAGGGACCACCCAGAGCCCAGAGCTGTGCTGGTACACTGTCGAGCTTGCTTCCTTCCTCCCCCTCCTCTTCCTCTTGTCTTTCTCATTATGTTGTTTGTGTCCGGGTTGGCTGCAGCTGGACCCTTGCAAGAGGGCTGGGCTCGCAGGCTAACACAGGCTAACACAGGCTTACACAGGCTTGAAGCTGGGTTTTCGAATTAACGTTTTGGCACACTGTATAATAATGCATTCATTCATTTAAATGCTTGTCTGTTCAGGTTCTTGCGATGTGTTTTGTATGGCAAAAATAGCATGTATCTTTATGATCGAAAATGATTGGTTATTATAGTTATAGTTGTCAGGAAAAAGGTATGTATGGGACCAGATAGCATGAGATGTCAATATATTTTTCCTTCTTCCAACATGTTTCTATTTTGATCAACTTGCAACATTGATGGTATCACAAGTAATTAGAAATATCAATGGTCAAAGGTTTATTTATATCTCAAAATCAACTTTGAAACCGATAAATTCACCAATCCTCCTTATGACAGGGCCTTTATGTGTGGAGTTTGCATGTTCTCCCTGTGTCAGCTTAGGTTTCCTCCAAGTGCTCCAGTTTCCCCTACTTCTAGAATACGTACGATCGGTCTGAATTAGAGACGGATGGAGATGATCGCCGTGTGTGGAGTGAATATAAAATGTTGGTACTTTAGCTGCTTTAGGTGACCATGGTTGGTGAAGTGCGCTATATAAATAAAGCTGACTTACTCACCCACTTACAAGTCCAAAGAGCCGTGCATGAGACGAGTCCTGGTCTGATCCCAGCACCTGAGTCCGCTAAAGCCCTAATTCTAATCTAACACCAAAAAATACACTTTTAATCTTATAAAATGTGATCGCAAATGAGAATCATTGATTTGTGTCGAGGTTACTTACAACACTGATTTGCAGAACCACATTATTGGAAGACTATATATTTAATTTGTTTTTTTTCCTTTTCCATATTTACAAATATTATTTTCTGAGATTATAGTGTGTAAATTCCAGATGTGAGTATAACGTGCGCTCTTGTAGTTTTCCTTAGTACAGCTCTGCCCTCTTGTGGACATATGAATGAAGTGCAATATCCTAGAGCCTTCTGATTGAAGCAGACTGCACACTCAGACTCATATTGTTAATGCCAGTTTCTGGAGCTAATGCTGCACAATAAATCCCCATATAAGGACATTTGCTTCTGCTAGCTTATGATAATAATTCACAGTAAGAAATGTTGATCATGTGTCAGCCCGGACCTCTCTGTGTGGAGTTTGTCCTCTCTGCATCTAGGTGGGTTTCCTCCAGGTGCTGAGGTTCCTCCACTGCTCCAGAGAATTGGCCCTAGAGGCAAGGGCATGGCAAATCATTATTTTCTTTGATTGATTGATTGAATACTTTATTTTGAGCCAAACAAAATTGAAACACTCTGCACAATGCAGAAAGCACTGTACCCACTTACATCAAAAAAGGCTCAAACAGGAGTGGGCTCAACAGGAGTGTTCCTACATTTCATTACTAAGCTTAGTTTCTGGTGTCTTCCTAACATAGATATATACACACACACACACACACACACACACACACACACACACACACACACACACCTGTACATACATAATAATCAACGTTCCTGCATAAGTTGTTTTTACATAATAACCACTACAGTTCTGAATGTGGGAGTTCTTTGGCCTCAGGAGAGATGGCCTATGTCTTCTTTAGTATGCAAACTTTAGTTATTTGGGGAAAGAAAATATGGAGTTTTCGCATTCTTTAACACCATTTTTGAATAATTTCTAATAATTTGCAGCCCTAGAAGCAACTAAAGCTCTTTTCTCTCTCTCAGGTGCAGTGATCTTCCTATGTGTATATATTTGTTGGTCTTTTAAGTGAGTCTTTTGAGGGTTCCTGCTTTATATGTGCTGCTTACATGAGCTGTGTCTCTGCCCCTCTGCTCCCGCTCCCCCCCCCCCCCCCCCCCCCCCCCCCCCCCTGACTTACTGTAGCTCCAAGACCATGGTATGTACTAACCACTAAAACCTTCTGCGGCCGCCCACGGCTCTAAGGCCAACGGAGAGACGCAAACCTTTTATCTGCATGTGGAAAATCAAATCTCTCCTTTGCCCTCAGAGTCAGTGTGGAGGAATACTCATTTCCATTGGTGTGTGACATTGTCCTGTTTTTATGGTGATCATTCGCGGTTACTCATCATTACTTACGTTACTGACTTTCTCTGTTCAGTGATTTGATTATGAGAGTAACTAAAAACAAAGAGTAATTCTTTGAGAATGATGGTGAAATGGTGTCTTTGTGTGTGTGTGTGTGTGTGTGTGTGTGTGTGTGTGTGTGTGTGTGTGTGTGGGAATCCATGGTGCCAAGATAAAGGAAAAGCAATTGATTAGGAAAATTATAATGGGGATATTATCTTTTTTGATTTCAAATAGATAAGGAGTGTTTTTTTTTTTTAAACATAATCAATATAAGCAGTTGTTGCTGAAGTAAAGACCTATGTCATGTTTTCTAAAACACTAGTGACTTGAATCATTTGACCTCCAGAGAAATTAAATTAAACCGTTTTTTTGTTTTATAACTAATACTTTATGTACATACCGTTTATTCCAACAGTTTTGTAAAAGTAAAATGTGAACAAATCAGACCCCAACATCCTGTCTTTATCTTTAAAGAATATATATATAAGAAAGAGACCTCCAATAGTGACACTATTAGAGCTGATATGAGGGTGGTCTTCTCTTTTTCATTTTTCTACTTGAAAGCTGATCTAAAGATACGACAATAATGTATGCATGTGAAAACAAGTGATTGAACTGTTTTGCGTTTAGATTAAGTTTCAGTGAGAATTTCATTACAGAATACATTTTTTGGGGTTTAAATTAGGTACCACAGCTTTAAGAAAAGGGAAAAATCAAGGACCACCCTCACTCAGCCAATCAGGTCGCAGCCCAAAGCATTATACAATGACAACCAGGGTTATTTCTTACAAGTATGCATAAGATAACATTTTTTGAATCAAATATTTGCGTGACTGCTGGTACAAATGTATTATCTATGATAAAAAAGTTAGGTACCCTAGCTTTAGATACTGAAAATAGTTTTTTGCAGTGAATCATATATGAGAGACACTATAAAATAAAATTAACAGCATGGACTTTTGTTTGATATGTACGATTATGGATACATTATTGTAGTCATATCTCTCTCTTATAGTAGATTCTTTATGGAGGCACATGGTTGATTCCATTGGCTGTCACTTCAATCGTTCCTCCCCCCTCTGACCATGTGTCCTTGTGTCTTGTAGAACACAGCTCTAGATAAAGAGACCCTCACCATCAGCGGCCGGAACGCGCCCAGAACTCCATCCCTCACTCCGGAGGCCAGGAAAGCAGAGAAGCCCATCCTCCCTCCAAAGCCCCCCCTCACCAAAACACTTCAACTCGACTCTGCAAGCGAAGCCTCGGCCAATCAGAGCTCTCCGTGCACCCCCTCGAGCCCGCCCCTGCTGTCCCCTTCCTCGGAGCCCATCATCTGTCTGCCCTCGTCCCTGTCCTCCCAGACTATGGACGAGTCTCCGACCAAAGACCTCTTTCCCCCCGCCGTCTCCTCCATCTTCCAGCCCGCCCTGTTCCCATCTCCCCCATCCACCCCCACAAAGTCAGACCCTCCATCGCCGACTTTGCCCCCAGCTCCCAGGGGCCTCCAGGAGCTCTCTGAGGCTGTCTGAAGATGAGAGATAAAACTGTCTTTTTGCTGTGGTTAAAAAGGGGGGAATGGAAAGTGTGAGACCAGCATTTTTAAAGATGACATGATGTACATTGGTCTGAAGTAACTGAACTAAAAAATCATTTAAAATAGAAAATACAGTAATTGCTCAACTACAAGCCGCATTTTTTTTTTTTAAGTTTGAGGCGATTCCCCTATCAGCTGTTGATCTCCAGAGCTGATGACAGAGCACACAATCTTGCTACATGGTTTGTTTATGTGAGCAGCAGAGAAGTGTAGACAAATACATTTATATGGCCTATTATTTTGAAAAGTTTTAGTTGCTATAGGACACGTGTTTAATGTCAAAATAGACTGGATTTACCAGAGTGCTTTGATCATCACGAGTCAACAGCGCGGTTTTGTTTTACTCCATCAGCTGTTGTTTAAGTGTTATATTACAACATGAAAACCTGTGGCTTATATATGTGCACAAAATATACTTTCTTTTAAAGTTATGTTTGTGTGGTTTATACGCAGGTGCGCTTAACAGTCTAGCAAATACAAGATACAAATTCCAATATTAAAACCAGAGTGACAGAAAACTGACGGCATCACTCATTCACACAGTGGTGGTGAACTGGAGCCACAGCTGCCCAAGGGCAAACTGAGAAGCGAGGCGACTAATCGGTGCCTCCGGACACTCCGACCACCACCTCCGAACACAACCAATTTTTCATACACACAACAGACTCAGTTGGTAGAGCATTGGCCTTTGAGCCCAAAGGTCGTGGGTTGGAGCCCACCATAAGACCTACTTCACGACTCCCACTGATGACTGCTGTTGTTGTGTCCTTGGGCAAGACACTTAACCCCACTTTGCCCGAGGCCCCCACTGAAAGATCAAGGCTCCTGTGGACTCACCACCTGCAGGAGGATCAGTGAGGGGCTGGTGCTCTGTGTACTGGGTGCAGCTCTGATGGATGGACTCATGTGGTTAGGGTATAGACACTGCACCTATACTAGACTTTATAGGTGCAGTGTATTGAGTTTGTCCGAAATCTCCGTGATCACACTTGTGAGCCTTAGAACCGCCTTAAAACAGATAGCTGATACTTAGCGGATTTCGTTAACTGTAGGATAAACGAGGGACCGCTGTATTGGGGAAAGATCCGAATAGATAGAATAAAGACACCAACATCCAGAATCGTGAGTTGGCTTTTGACTAGATTTCCTTTCTAATATATTGCAAAGCCAACAGTAGACCACACGCAAAACTGTCAATTAAAATGTTTTGTATTTGCATAAAGTAGAAATTGACATTCACAAAGAAATGCTTCTGAAAAACACCAAATGCTTACATGCAAAATGTCTTTAGCTTGTGTAGTATAACAACCTGTCCATTCCTTTTTGTTTGGGGGGCCGGGATCACTACAGTCAAAAAAAAGGAATTATCAAGTGCTGTTCTACACATCAACTGTACATAGATAGGCTTTGCTAAACCCCTGGCTCCCTGAAACGCAATAGGGAAGTGCTCATGGATGAAGTTTTGCTCCAACTCGCTCTGGCTCCAATTGGGCTACATTGAAAAGTAACCTCCTCTAGCTTAGTAACCATTTGCGTCACACTCACCATTTTCCGTTGAACAAATTTGTGGTTTAGTGCGCTCTATGATCCTGGTGTTTTTTAGTTTAATCGTGTTGTACAGTATATCCAGATTTGAGCCATATGACGCTTGACCAATCCGATGCCTTCATTCGTAGGGGGAACTTCAGTTTGCCTTAGCAACCGTCTTAGCAACACGTCTTTGCTAGCTAACACTACGGTGACATCAACACTCGGCCAGTCTTCTCCTAAAGTATGGTCTATGGTTCTTCCAGGTCTTCCACATCTTCTGCAACAATGTGAAATCTTTTATTTATTGTGTTTTTGTAAATATGTGTCTGGATGTATGTGTGGGATTTTTGAGCATGACCCTGTTGCTCCAAAATGCGAATGCTGCGAACAAAACAATTCAACAATAAGACATTACAACTACATTGTACATGTCTAAAGTGCATATGCATTCTTATGTAAATATGTGAAATAATGCTTTAAACATAACATTAGACTTATTTTTCTGCCCGTATGATTCATGAACCTTAAAGATCTATAGGAGGATTTTCCCAAATTTTAGGAAAGAACCGTCTTCTCCACTTTCTGAACAACACTCTCTGGTCTTATTTGATGAGCACGGATCCACCCGGAAGTAGAAAATCCTCCTATCTACCTTTAAGCCTACTGACGTGACAGCCTCTAAACACACCCCTGTTCCCCTGATGAAATATAATGTGTACTAGTGTTTCTACTACTGCTGCTGTCTTTTATGCATTTGAACTGAATGTGAAGGGTGACATGTCTGTTTAAGAGCTCACACAGCTTGGCAAGGCCTTCACTGGAATTATTACATTTTTTACATGACAAATGTATTGTATTTTCCCCCCAAAAAAAACATTAAAATGATTTGAGTCATTTATTTTACTTCCAGATGTATTTGATAGCATACAATCAACAGGCGTCACATCACAACATTTAAAGCCGAGGCCGATCAGCTTTTAATTGTAGAGCGCCTTTCCTACACAAGGCAACACAAAGCGCCTCACAACCTATATCACATCATGCATGTCATGTACGTTAAAAAAATCGATTAAAAACAAAAATTATCAAACAATAACATTGCAAGTAATTAAAAATCTTGAAACATTAAAGTCACACATGGGATTAAAATAATAATAAGCCACAGTGCATTAAAAAGAGTAAATATACAATCCTTCAGTTGTATGCACAGCTAAACAGAACTGTTTTTGTCGGTTCTCAAAAGGGCCTGAGTGAATCTCAAGCTTTGAAGACTAAGGGTGGATGGTGTCTCAGTCGTAGAAACAAGATGAGGAGTTTTCTCAGCGTTCACATGGTTTCACACCCAGGCCCAATGCAGCACCTCATCTTCTGCCACGTCACCAATAGATACGTTTGCTTTGACCTTCAGAGAACCACCACTGTGTCTGTTGTAATGACCAGCTCAGTCAACACACAATTGCATAAGAAGTGACCACATCCAACACTCCCCCTGTAACTGTAAGTGTATAGAGAGATATGTTCCACAGTAGAGGGCTGTAATAATAACTATAGATACAGTCAGCAGGTACAGTATGGCAATACCTTTGACCTAATGTGGGGCCATGCATCATAACAATGATCTGAAACACAGCGCCCAGGCAAAGCCAGAGTGGCTCCATAAGAGGCATTTTCAGGTCATGGAGTGGCCTGAGCTCATCTCCAGATCTCAACACAATAGAACATTTGTGCCCAGTGATAGTCCCAAACCATCAAAGCTCTTGAAAAGATTTGTATGGAAGAATGGGTCAAAATACCAGGTTTGTACACACCTTTCCTGACAACCTCCAGGAATAGTTTGACAGCTGTCATTGACAACAATGGTTCCATTACATGGGGACAAGTATTGAGTTGAACTTCTGTTATTGGCCAAATACATTATACAAATGGTTTGAAATTTATATAATTATTTTTTTCACATTCTGTCTCTCAAAATGAAAATGTAGGACCCCCCTCAATGTTTTTAAGTTAAGACAAGTTGCACACTCGACAGCTGCCAAACACATGTTTGCCCCACTGTAAGTTTGGATGGATAGAAAGTTAAGGCTGTATTGAAGTGAATGATTGACAGGCCGTTAGCTTTAGCAAATGAACTAGTGAACTGTAGATCTGGATAGTAGGAACATCCTCACAGAACTCTCACAACATGAGGACAACTCTCTCTCATGGCGCTGGTTCTGTGGGTTGGAGATGGCAGTGTCCGTCTGTGCAGGAAAGAATTATTTAATTTACATTTTTGGTCATGTGATGCTCCCATGTTGAGAATGACAGATGAGCACAGTTGTCACACAATAATGATGATGAATAATCTTTTCTTTCACAGACATAAGTGCGAGGAGTGTCCTGATCGTCAGGTTCACAGCAGATGTGAACCTGACGATCAGGACATAGTAACAGACATAGTAACAGTCATTCTTTCTGTTGACAGATGAATAAACTAATCTCAATTGTGTTGTACATATACTGACCTGGGAAATAAGTCAGTTAAGACTTTTGGTATCCACCTTTGTAATTGGGTTCTCCAGGACACCAGTTTGTGCCGGACAGAGGATCACTGTTGATCCATAACCATATGTCAAACTAAAACATGAAGCAACAAATATAGAACAAGATTACACAGACATTAGCAAACATGGTTTTCATTTAGTTTACAAACAATTGTATTTCATTTAATCTCATAGTTTTCTATATCCTCATCAGTGTGTACCTAGATCTGCATTTTTTTCTGAAGTGCAGTTACGTACTTGAGCCTGAGCCCAGGACTGAGGAGTAGATCAAAATGTACAGCTGCTTCCAGCGAGAGTTTCCCAGACTCTTGTGTTTTCATCTGATAAAGATAACCTCGTGAACTATCTGTACTTATAGAATACTAAAAGGCTGAACCTAGAAATTGTAGTTGTTGTTATGGAACACTATAAGACTAGTGTACTTACCCTCAGCCATGCCTTTGTTGGTGGACAAGTGTTCTGGGGCATCTGATGAAAAAAAACAAATAAAAGTTACATGTTAACTGTTGCATAATGAATATACTCACCTTTTGTCTGGGCCAGTGCGCCACAGAAGAGAATCAACAGCTTCATGATAAATTGATGCTTGTGTCTTTTAGAAAACAAAGGATGACCAGTTTTCTGACTGTAGCTCCTCAACACACACCTCCAGTATAAAGGTCTGTGGCCATGGACTAAAAGGGCACATGTTTCGCCCTCTACACACCGCACGAGCAGCGAAAGCATTGCATCTCTTGGTGGCCAGGAGTGATGCTGCTGGTGCGTCTGTGAAGTCGATCTACAGAGAGGATAATACAGCCCAGATAACTGCTATGGACCAGAAAACGTCAGATGTACTGTATGTGACGGCTTTAAGATAAATAATGTCCATATGTACAGAATCACTGTAAAATCGGCCCCCCTCCCTCTAATAATCAGTACATGTGTAATGAGCATGTTTAGATGATCTTGTTGATCTCAAAGACCATTAAGCTCTTGATGAAGATGAACGTAAAATAAACTGAATGCAGAGGTTCTCAAATGAATGAAGGCCTGTCACCAAATATCTCTCCAAGGAAACAAATGCCTCTCATAACAATGTTTACATTTGCATTGCCTAACAGAACATTTGCCAGTAAGAATTTCAGAGTTGGTGAAAATGGGGAAGCGAGGATTCCATTTAATTGTAGTTTTTTCAGCAGAACATCAGAGAGTAATGCAAGAGAATCAAAAGGTCATCAGTCATACCCTACACTACACTAAAACCAATAGAACATGTGGAAAGACCTAAAAACTGCAGTCATAAACACTCTCCATCTAACTTTTCGGTTTTCTATTTTTTGAAAAATAAAAGAATTGTGTCACATTTTGCTTTCCCTTCACACTTGACTGTTACTTGCGTGTAAACTTTCAGTATAACAAAACTATAATAACTATTAATAATACATTTTTGGAAACTCAAAGACGTTTTACAAAACATACAAAAATAAAGAACAAAATTAAGGAAAGGTAAGCTCAAACAGGTGGGTTTTGAGAAGTGATTAAAAGTTCTCTAGTGAGTTCATTGTTTCTGATGGGTTGTGGGAGCGAGTTCCAGAGAGTGGGGGCATCTGCGGCGATGGCACAGACCCCCAAGGTTTGGTGTTTAGTTCTGAAAGGAGTGAAAAGGTTGGAATCTGTGGAGCAGCATATACAGTCTATGGGACCAGCGCAGTGGTAAAATCCACCAATACCAAACACTGTGATTCACAACAACCACAAGAGGGAGCCAAATTACACAAAGACCAAGGCGATCAGTTATAAAATCCTTTTTAATTTCAGAACACACAGAACAGTCAACGTAATTGCAAAGTATCTCAAACCACGTCAAAAAAGAAAGAAGGAATGTCTTCTAAATGAATTCAAGATCTGTTTTAGTGCTGAATAAGCCCTTCCTTCCGTTTTTGTGGTCATATGGAAACAAGATTAATATGTTTTTTATTCAGTGAATGAACCAGGATTTACTGCTTATGTATATTGCATTCAGTCACAGTTCACCTTGTTAGTTTCCTCTCTTAAATAAAGCTTTACATGTTTTCAGGATTAACACACAGAGCACAAACAAAACACAAACAGAAATGTCTTTGTTAAATATGACAGATTACATGAGGTTTTAGTAATAGAAATAAGAGAGTATTTTCTCTTAAATTCAATTATTTATTCTTCAACAAAATATGAAACCTAATTATTCCCATATACACAGAGAAAAATCACTCAATAACACAACAAAAAGAATGTCAAAGATCTAGCGCCCCATTGGAGGAAAATAGACTCTTACGGCTAAAAATAGATTTATTTATTTTTTAAGGTACAATAACACAACCCCCACCCAATGATTGATATGAAAATCATCTTTCACCTTGATCTACAAAATATAGCAAATGCCCTTTTTCAAAATAGTTGTATTCGTGCGTAGCGGGACAGATTGGTCAGAACAGAGATACATTCAGATCGGCGTGAGGTGCAGTAGTGCTCAGTAGCGCGTCTGGTACTCATGGTGCCAGCGGTTAAAGTCGTTGTAGAAGAGGACGATGCTGCCGGACGCCATGCCCGTGATGATGCACCTACAGCGGGGCAGGGGAGAAAAGACGTCAGAAATGTCTTTGTGAGTAAACAAACAGCACACAGCTTTATTATGTCAATTTGTCTTTTTAATGAGACCCAGGCATTTCCTATTAACAATATTCTGAATCCATCCATTTTCTTTCCCTTAATCCATTTTTGGATTGGGGGGGAAGCAATCAGAGTAGCCAGCCAATTCACATAACACCAGCCCTTCAATGATCGTCCTGCAGGTGGCGATCTTGATTTTGATCTTTCAGTGGGGGCTTCAGGCAAAGTGGGGTTAAGTGTCTTTCCCAGGAACACAAAGACAGCAGATATCAGTGGGAGTAGATGGTAGGTCTGGTGAGGGGATCAAACCCACAACTGTCAGGCCCTAAGATCAATGCTGGGCCAATGGGACAGGGCCATGGAGCAGATGTACTAAAATAATAATAATAATAACAGTGTGTCATAATGGTACCGTTGGTCGTGGGACAGGGCCATGGAGCGGATGCCAGCGTCGCAGGCGGGGTAGGTGAACAGCTGCTGGAGGTTGTGGAGCTGCCACACAGAGACCACTCCTCCGTCTCCTCCCATCAGCAGGTACTGACCATCTCGGCTCAGCTGCATCGCCTGGGCAACAACACAACACGCCAGAGGGGAGATTAAAGACCGTAAATCCCATGTATGAACAAACACAGGAAGTGGTTGAAAGATTTATATGCTCTTTTCACAGGCTCCAACTTCCTGTTTCATGCAACACTTTAAAAGCTGTTTTCCCATTCGTACGATACAATATCATGTTTTGGATTCGTGATAATTGATGTTGTCATATTATTAACATTTAGAACATTTTCCATTCTGAATATTAATACAATGTCATGTGGTTACAGGTAAAACTATTGTAAATATCAAATGAAAAATCTAGTAAAAGTAGGCGTTTCAACTATATTATAACACTGCTACTAGATCATTTGAATCAGAATACTTTTTTGTCATTGTGAGTAAGAGGCATTTTTTTGGCTCTTGGGTGCAAACAAGTTATACAAGTAAAAATGTTATACAAAGAAATAAAAAAAAAAATCTATATTAACATTTATTAAGATTACTACTATATACAAGTGCACTATGTACCGAAAAGAATTCTTAAAATGCTAACTATAATGTCACAAAACAAGGATTGGCAGTAATTCTACTTATTATCGTTCTTCCTTGGTCATGTCTGGGCGGGCGGTTCTTTTATATAAATTGAGCATTCTATAAATACATTTTTGTTTTAAGTGAGTATTATTTTGAATAAGATTTCATGTCTGTCCCCTGCTTTTTTACTTGTACATAGACAAACCTATGTACACGTAAAGATAGCAAACAAGTAAGCATGAATTGTGCATTGTGAGAAAACAGATTGAATTTATGTCCGACCTGAAATCAATCAATCAAGTTTATTAATAAAGCACAATTCATTCAGTGTAACCCAAAGTGCTTTACACAGACATAAAATCATACACATATATAAACATTTTAAAACCTAGAAAAAAAAAAAAAAGTTGCAAACAAGTCACCCAAGTGAAGTTATTTGGGTCACTCCAGTCTCTAAGTAAAGTACAGTGAAAACTTCTTGTACATTTGCAGGGAACCCCCGCTGAGTGGAAAGAAAGATTTACTCAGCTCCCCTGACTCTGGCCCCGGGGGGGGGAAACCAGCCGTCGTACACAAATGACACTTTGGAGCTGAAATATGGAAGCTCCAACATTAGTCTGAACCCTAACTCTAATGAGAGGGTTTTCTCTCGTCTCAGGCTGTGACAGCGAGCAGCCGCCTGCAGTGATTATGAAAAGGGACTCCCAACGTGAGAGTTCTGGTTTAGCAGTGGATAGGAAGATTAATGGGAAGATACTGTAGGTTGGTAGAGATATTGAAGGCTAGATAGATGGATGGAAAGATGCTTTATTGATCCGTTGAAGGAAATGTCAAAACTCACTATGTTGGTGATTTTACATGAATACAACACAGATAGTAATATTAATTCTGTGTATTAAGTCTTATTGCGAAAGGAATCAAAGTCTTTCTGAAGTGCTCAGATTTTCAGTAATTTTACAATGTATACAGAGAGGACTGTTTTTCGCATTTGTGGGAAAAAAAATCAAGCAAGACTATATTTGCCTTTGAGGTAGAATAATTATCTACTTATCTTTCAATATCTTGAAATAAGGTGTTGGAAACATTTAGAAGAGGCGTCTTCAACGTCTTCTCGTGAGCTACCAGTAGCTCGCCAGCCCCTTTCAGGTAGCTCTCCAAAGAAATTAGAATTTAACAAATGTTCTTGAATGAATATTTTCTGATATATCTCTTATGAGTATTAATATAGGGTTATACAGTATTATGGTATTATTTACACATGTCCCCCATGTTCCCCATAGCGTCAAATAGTGACTCCCAGGGCTCTTTCTTACGTATGCAATAGATAACTTGTTTGCCAAAAAGACCGCATGTTGTGGCCTGATTTGTTTACAACGTTTTACTTTGACAAGACTCTTGCTGTTGGGATAAACAACTACCAGTGGTTATTGCCTGTGGCCCTCTGCCTGGTCCAGGAGCCAACATGAGTCGTGTGTTGTGACATGTGAGCTGGGGGTCTGCATCATTCACATTGTGGGTCTGGGGTCACCAACAGCAGCATGGAAACATGCTAACCACACGCTTCACTCAGAGAAAAGGCTAAATTGCCAAATTACGTACACTTCATTGTAGAGCTAAATAAAACATTTTGACAATTGATATACAGCCGTTTAGTGGCGGCAGATTTTGACAACTGCTTCTGGGTGGCAGCTGAAATGTTTGCTATGAAAGTAAATACATTTCAAGACTGCACTGCAAAAATGGACTGAATCGTCACGTTTAAACTTTGCCACCACCGGAGGCAAGAATTTGTTTTTGTCCAAATTAAAAAATGAACGGCAGCAAAACACAGCCACGTGGTTGTAAAGACTGATTAATTTCACAAACAAATTTATGGACAATAAGAAAACTGCTCTGAGCATGATGTCACAGTGGTACAAGGACATACTGTACTATTACAGGAGTGAGACAGGAGCTTTTAGACAGAAGGGGTAGAGTTTGTTCCAGAAGTTCCTTAAAATGATTTAATTCATTCATACATTTATTCATTTTCATCCCTTTATTACCCATTTCTGGGTCAGGGGGGCGGCAATCAGCAGAGCAGCTATCCGATTCACAAAGCAGCAACCCCTCACTGATCCTCCTGCAGGTGGTGGGTCCACAGGAGGATGGCTGCTCCTTCGATACAGCCTTGATCATTCAGGCAAAGTGGGGTTAAGTGTCTTTGGACACAATGATAGCAGACATCAGTGAGAGCAGATGACATGGGCCGTGGTGGGATCGAACCATTAGGTCCAAAGATCAATGCTCTACCAACTGAGCCACTGTCGCCCACTTCCTTAAAATTATCCAGGTCTATTTTAGATGAGGGAACAATGTTGTAATATGCAGACAGGCTCAATAATAGTATGTCTTAAATACTAGTGCCCCCAGAATTATGAAATGACTAGAAGTCCCAGAGCCGTCATTTTGACTGCTCCCATTCCAACCAACGGATATTCCACCAAAAAAGTTACATTTTCATTTTTTGTTCCATAACACACTTTTACAAAGAGCTAAGACTGGTGAATATAACTTGAAATACTGCAAAAACTGCTGGCAAGTAAACATTGTGTTGCTATGGTAAATAAAAATATATGGTAATAAAATAATATTTCATAATAGAATATGGCGCAGAAATAAACTATATAAAGAAAAAAAGTCACAAAGTTAGAAAGACCACAAATGCAAATACGCTGAGTAATTACATTTACAAAACCAAAAGCAGTCAAATTGACTGCTCTGGAAGTTCTAATGTTAATGATTTCGCTTGGGTTTCTACTTTATAAAACAAAAATAAGATACGGGAAAACTCCAGCATTCCAAGCTTACATTGCACGTGTATTTTGTAGCAATGCCCTTCGGACTCCCCACAGGGGTCCGCGCCGACGTTATAAATCACACTACCTTCACTTCAAACTCAAACAAGCGCTCCCTCCATCTCTGTAGGAACAAAGATGGCCGACCGGACTCCAGTGTCTCCCAGACGACTGCAGCAGAAACATATTCACCTTTTAATGTCCGTATTTCCGTTTTGTTTTTTTGTGGACTTGGAAAAGGTAGGGTTTGGATTTACGGTGCTGTTAATCCTCCTGGCTACATGCATCGACTGTGGTTGAGTTATACCAGCGCTTAGGATCTAATCTGTTCAGTATGGTCCGTGTCACCTGATGCCGCTTTTAGACCTGGATACTTACTGTTAGCTTGTCATCTCGCCAAGTTCATAAATCGGCCGAATGTGCGGTTGAAAAAAACAAAAAACGGTTCAAAAACTTCAGGGCCGAGAAGTAAATAACGTCCAGTGGATTCAACGGCTACAAATGGATGTGAGTATTTAGTTTTTATGCTTTTGGACCATAGGGAAGTGCTCATTGATTAAGTTTTGCTCTGGCTCCTATTGACTTACATTGAAAAGTAAAAACTCCCCAAGTTCAGTAACAGTGTGTGTCAGCAAGAAGGTCCTGGGTTCAAATCCCGGTTGGAACAGGGCCATTCTGATTGGAGTTTACATGTTCTCTCCATGTCTGCGCAGGTTTTCTCCAGGTCCTCCGGTTTCCCTATACCACTTTAAAACATGCGTGTGTGTTTGGTGTCTCGCTTTTGTCATCACTGTGTGGAGAGAATGGAAATAATCCAAAGCGCTTTGTGTGACCTTGGTCTGTTTAAATGTGCTATATATAAATAAATATTACTTACTTACTACCCACTCACCATTTTGGGCTTAAACATCTCGATGATACTGCTGTTTATATGTTGATTTTGACTTTGTAAATATGCAGATATGAGCAAAATTAGCATTAGCCAAAAAAATGCCTTCCTTTGCGGGGGAAGCTACAGTTGAGCAACCATATCAGGACTGTTGCAGTTCTACACGGCCATCATCGAGTCCATCCTCACCTCCTCCGTCACCGTGTGATTCGCTGGAGCCACAGTCAGGGACAAACAGGGACTACAGCGCATTGTGCGCTCTGTGGAGGAAGTGATCGGCCGCAGCCTTCCATCGCTGCAGGACCTGTACGTCGCCCGAGCTCGAGGCCGGGCTGGTCGTATCACAGCCGACCCCTCTCACCCTGCACATGGACTATTCCAACCACTCCCCTCAGGCAGGAGACTGCGGTCCATCAGGACTAGAACCTCCCGCCATAAGACCAGTTTCTTCCTTCTGCTGTTGGACTCTTGAACACTTCATAACCTGTCCCCCCGCCCTTTAGAAGTCATCTTACAGCCCCCTATAATGTCACTTTACTGTCCCTTATTAAGTCACTTTAATGCCATCATAACGTCACTTTACTGCCTGTCACCCTATTGCACTGCCTATTGCATATTGTGTGCACCATTTGCACTTGCATATTGTACAGTGACTGCAATTGTAATTGTAATAATTCTGTAATAATTCTATTTTAAATTTTATACCGTAGAAGTGTATGCTAATTTGTATTATTCTTACGATGCCTTACTCTATTCTCTATTCTTTACCTCTCTTCTTTGACTGTTCCACTGAGCCAAAGCAATTTCCAAGTCTGACTTCCTGTTACTTACGTATGACTTATGATTCTGATTATTACTATTGTTAGCTTTCTAGAATAATCAATTTTATTTTTGCTGCAACTGGACACCAGAATTTCTCCTACGAGGATCAATAAAGTATCTATCTATCTATCTATCTATATTAGCAACACATCTGCCCCAATAATGGCGCGAAGCTAACTAAAGTCGGAAAAAAATCCCCATATAAGGAAATTGACTTTGTCTTTTTCCTCATTCGGCAAACACTATGGTGACGTCAGCCAATCCTAATATATGGTCTATCTGTCTATCCATTCTGTGGGCTTTCTTTGCCAGTTCCCCGGTATGGAAACAAACAGGTGAAGGCAACTGTTCAATTTGCACAAGTGGCAGGAAATATGTGGCGTATATTTAAAGCTGGGTTTCTCTCATAAGATACAGTAAGGGTTATAGCTGCGTAGACAGTACAGGATAAGCAGGCATCAAATCAGGTAAATATATCATAAGTGTAATATTTCATACAAAATAATACCTCAAAATGAACACAAAATAATGAATGATCCATTCTGTAGAGAACATGTTTTCATTTCTCATTTTTTTGTTGGAAAACCGAGATCTAAAGAAGTGACAAAGGCCAAAAATACAGACATGTGAAAACTAGTGATGGCACTAGTTAGATGGATTACATTACATTCTTCCATTTATTGTTAGGATTTTTTTTCCCCGCGCCAGCATAAGTCAAAGTACATTTTCTGCAGACACAAACCAACAAATCACTAGAACACTTGATTCATTTTGACATCATTTTATAGCTCACAGATGCTAATTAGCGCGCTGTCCAAAGCTCAGACCCAACATGGCTGCTGTTTGTATCTGCTTATAAACTTCCCTAAACATCACTTTTCAGTATTTGTGTGACTGCGTGTACAATCCGCCAGCTCCAGCAGGTTGGAGTTTAGCCTGGTTCCCTCCCTTGTGTTAATCTGAACCAGGCGCTGTGGTGTCTGTCAGCGCGGCCGTACATTTCCCAGGCCGGGGCAGGAAACAGCGGGTCAGGCCGACCAAAGGCAGTAGCACTATCCTGTGTCGCCGCGGTCACCGGGGAGGAAGAGGGGGAAATGGGAGAGTGTCGTCCCAGCGCCTAGGGGTAGTTAATGGCCCGGGTGTTCGGGAGTGACCGGGCCCGCTGGAATGTCCTTTGGATCGGGGTAAGGAGAGAGGACTGGAGCGGACAACGGATCAAAAGACAGGTCTGTGTGCAGGTTTTAGGGAGGGAGGAGGGGTAATCAGAGGGACTGAGCACCGCACTCCCCAGAGGCTCAATCAAACAGACTTAGAAAATGTCCAGACAAAACTTCGCACATGTAACTTGGAAAAAAATTAAGCAGTTTGTGTCAATACTTTCCCTTTCATTCGTAAGTATCATTATAGCGTATTTTGAATGTTTGAAATAGGGCTGTAATAAATTATTATTTTGATAATAAATAAGTTAGTGAGTGTGGGATTTTTAAAAACATTTCCTCAGACATATGTTAATCACAGATAAAAATGCAAGTCTATCATCCATGTGGAGCAATATAAATCTTTTCAATATACATACGTACAGTATAAGCAACGGGCTATCAAGCAGTTTGGACTCATTGCTCTCTAAATTTTGTTGGAGTCATTCTGAGACCCCACTGTGTTAGTCAACCTGTAGCAAAGAGGTGAATAAGGATTTTTGGGCAGTAAAAATTGACAAATTCTAAGCAGGGATTATCAGGGGATAAAGCACAGAGGTACAATCCGACCCTAGATCTAAAGGCTACATTAAAACAAAGACATGGACATGATTGTAGCGATAATATGTTCAAACAAGAAACAAAAATCCAAAGTCTCCAGATTTTCCCACCTGAGGTATAATGTATTATCACCTGAACATGGTTGTCGTTTCAATATATGTTTTTTTCTGGGGTGTTAGGGCTCTCGTGGCCGGGGGAGGGAGTATAGAATATAGAAAATAAACTCTGAAAATTAGAGTATCGTTTAAAAGTCCTTTTATTTTACTGCTGTAATTTATTGTGAAACGAATCACGCAAGTAAGATATATCAAGCCCTTATTTGTTATAATGTTGATAATAGGCGCACAGCCAATTATAAACGAAGAAAACATCTCAAATTAGATCATTTAGATAACGGACTGTCAGCCATAATCATAAAAAAATCACTTTGTGTATAATGGGTCTATACGGCTCCTGAACACTTCATAACCCTGTCCCCCTGCCCCTATATAAAGTCACTTTACTGCCGTCACCATACTGCACTGCTTAATGTCTATTGTGTGTACCAAGTGCAGTGTAAAATAATTTTAAAACGTTTTATATTTTACAAAAGTAGTGGATTCATTGGATTTCATTATGCCCCACTTTATTCTCTACTTTTGACTTGTTTGCACCGAGCGCCAAAGCAATTTCCTAGTCTGTGACATCCTGTTACTTACAAAAAAATATTCTCATTCTGATCATATATTGTTATATGCAGTATGTCTTTTTCTGCTGAGTCTGTCTGTGACTGTAGATAAACCAACAGATGCCCAGTACCTTGATGCTGTCGTCCACCTGCATGTTCCCTTGCAGTTTTCCGTTGACTGAGAACACACAGAAGTGGCCCTTGTCGTAGTACACCACACAGTGGCCCTCAGAGGAGGACTGCACCAGGCGCGGCCGGACACACGACTCCGGGGCCTCTAGGGTCCTCAGCAGGTCCCCGTTCATGGAGTGGACCAGACAGGGGCCCTCTGCAAACACCACAGGCAACTCAATGAAGAGGGTTGGAATACTTGTGTATAAATATATGTGTGTATTTATTTTTAGTACAACTGTGAAATAATAAAACAGTAAATATATATATATATATATATATATATATATATAAATATATATATGCACACAATATACATGTACAGTATAAAAAAGCATTTAAATAAATACAAGTCTTTTTAAAAAAATGCTAATTTACAAATAATACACAAACAAACACATCTGGCATTAAAAAATAATAAAAGTACCTTTGCAGCCGCTGATGACCAGGCCCAGCTCTGCGCACACGCTAGCGCAGGTGACCTCACAGTCGTGTCCAGTCAGGATGGCTCGTGGCATGGTGAACTCTGCTGGAGAGTACACACACACAGTCACTACTAAGTGCACTACTGCTGCAGCCACTTGAGGGCAGCAAATACCACGCAATTTCACTTAACAGAGGTTATGGGGTGAGGGTAGAACCATTGGCCCTGCCATCTGGTTCTGGAATATATATTTTTCTGTCTAGACTAGAGCTAATATAACATATATGAAACGTGAACTTTGGAAGTGTCATTTGTTTAAGGTTTATCAGTAAATGAGGACTGCTCGATAAAATTATATTATGTAAAAGCAAGAAAAGACAAAAATATTGTCCCATATTGAGGACCATGTCTCTTCTCTCTTTTGCCAACCAAACAGCTTTATTGTATTGTTTTTTATTGCACTATACTAGGGTTACTTCATACTAATCCTTTTTTATTATTTAAAAGGGCACTACTATTGTCATCCGTACTCCAATAAGGATGGCAATGTCATCTGGAGTACGGAAATAACTCTTTTCTGAGCATAATATGTTTTTCAGTTGTTGTCAGTAACTATCTGATAAAAATAATTATATGGTGACATTTTTTTACTTGCCTTGATCTGACTTAAGTAGTTGTAGTTTTGTCTCTCGCCTGTTCATAAAATGAACAGTTCAAACTGTTGTTAATGAAGCTTCTTTTGTCAGTGAAGCTCTCTGGCCTCTCTCTGGCCTCTCTCTGGCCTCTCTCTGGCCTCTCTCTGGCCTCTGTCTGGCCTCTGTCTGGCCTCTCTCTGGCCTCTGTCTGGCCTCTGTCTGGCCTCTGTCTGGCCTCTGTCTGGCCTCTGTCTGGCCTCTGTCTGGCCTCTGTCTGGCCTCTGTCTGGCCTCTGTCTGGCCTCTGTCTGGCCTCTCTCTGGCCTCTCTCTGGCCTCTCTCTGGCCTCTCTCTGGCCTCTCTCTGGCCTCTCTCTGGCCTCTCTCTGGCCTCTCTCTGGCCTCTCTCTGGCCTCTCTCTGGCCTCTGTCTGGCCTCTGTCTGGCCTCTCTCTGGCCTCTCTCTGGCCTCTCTCTGGCCTCTCTCTGGCCTCTCTCTGGCCTCTCTCTGGCCTCTCTCTGGCCTCTCTCTGGCCTCTCTCTGGCCTCTCTCTGGTCTCTCTCTGGTCTCTCTCTGGTCTCTCTCTGGTCTCTCTCTGGTCTCTCTCTGGTCTCTCTCTGGTCTCTCTCTGGTCTCTCTCTGGTCTCTCTCTGGTCTCTCTCTGGTCTCTCTCTGGTCTCTCTCTGGTCTCTCTCTGGTCTCTCTCTGGTCTCTCTCTGGTCTCTCTCTGGTCTCTCTCTGGTCTCTCTCTGGTCTCTCTCTGGTCTCTCTCTGGCCTCTCTCTGGCCTCTCTCTGGCCTCTCTCTGGTCTCTCTCTGGTCTCTCTGGTCTCTCTCTGGTCTCTCTCTGGTCTCTCTCTGGTCTCTCTCTGGTCTCTCTCTGGTCAGCGAGGTTAATCTCATTAAGACATAGCTAAGTGTATGAACTATTCCTTATTCTGTTTAAATTGTCAGTTTAAATTGTGCCTTTGTGTCCTTGTTCTGTTCTATTATTTTTTTGTCCATTCCTTTAGCGCAGTATCAAAACTGTTTAAATGAATAAATAAATAAATAAATACATAGATAAATAAATAATAAATACAATTATACATTATGCATCAAAAAATATCAGATTGCTATTTTCCGGACAAACATTGCAATCAGATTCATTCACTATTCTAAAAAGTAATTTTTTGAGCGCATACATCAAGCATCTTAGAGAACCACTAAATGCCCCTAAAGTCACTAAAGTTTGATTTAAAGTTACAAACTTAAGATCACATTAAATCAATCAAGAATAATGGTCAGTAAGGAAGAGCAGATTAACTGGATAAAGTCCATCATTTCCCCAGAGCATCCCCTGTCCTTAGACCTCTGGATGCAAGAAAATGTATGTGTGCCTCAGTTATCTTGTTTTGTACAAGTCAATGGGAACATTTTTTTTTAAACTTTGGTTTCACTTCAATAGAACCTACATACAGTTGTGCTCGGAAGTTTAGACACCCAACATTTCATCGTTTTGGTCATCATTTGGAAATTATGAATGACAACACAAACACTTCCTGCGCCTAATGTCAATGTCAAATGCATATAATGTATTGTTCTTGCATTTCCTAATTACACTCAACGCTTCCTTATATTCAGTAGGAGTGAGACACAAAGCTAGAATAGGTTTCAATAACGCCCAATTTTTCTTTTTACAAATAATTACACTACTTGCTTTTAATATCAGTAAATTCTCCAATGGTGCAGCGAATATTCATAATTCACATTCACAACTACCACAAAAGACAAGCTATCATAGATGTTAAAGGGGAAGTACATGCTATTGAGAACATGGGAATGGAGACTTCTGATCAGGCTCAAAAGAAACGTTTGTGTCGTCCTTATCATCCATAATCTAAATATGGACTATCAATAACAATACAAAAATTGCCTTGGTGTGTATACAATTTCAAGCACAACTGTAAAATATCCTACACAGACTCTGCAGCTTGTGTCATTGACGGGACTGCCCTCTTTCTCCTGATGCTTCACTGGATCCAGATGTGGCTATGATGGAGGGGGGCGCTGAACGTGACATGTGTGTGTGTGTGTATGTGTGTGTGTTTGAGCTGTCAGAGTCTGCGACAAAACAAAATCATATCTCCTTTCACGTCTGTCTCCTGACATGCCTGCCACAGTCCTCAATGCAATTTGAAGATTGAAATAAGACAATAAGATTAGAAAATACTTTTGTAGAGTTGCACTGAGCTTTGTTGCTGAGACTATTGATTTATTCAAACTATGTGAAGCAATTTCACAGTCTGTTAGATTGAAAATAAAGTTCTACATATTGCTTAGTTGTAAGGATGTTAATGTATGTATGTGTATGTATGAAGGTGAAAATTGCAATATTGTTCAAAAGTCCATTTACTTCTGTATATCAAGTTACAATATAAGACTCATGACATGAAAAGTGAGATATATCAAGCCTTTACTAGATGATATTTGTGGGTCACATTTTTAAAAAAGATCTCGGGATTTTTTTTTTTTAAATGGACTATAAGCCTCAAACATCTATCCTCTATCCTGCAAATGTCACTTTGCATAAGAGTCCTTTGTAATGAGAACTTTTGCACGATATTCTAATTTTCACCTATAGTTTCACCTGTATATGCATGGATGTGTGTGTGTGTTTATAATGTTTTTCACGTGTCATATAAAAGGCCCAAAGGCCAAATGCGGGCTGTGTTATACCTTATACGTATGTTATAGCTATTTTCAAAGCTTAGTTTCTCAAGACAACATTTATTCTAAAATGTGAAAATATAAATCATTACCTATCAGTCTACTACAGTCTGTTACAAGCCTTCTTTACATCCAGTTCCGTTTTGGTTCCATCCAAACAAACTGTAACTGAACTCATTCTATTCATAAAAATCTACCAGAAAAACTACATTCAAACTCATAATGAATAACAATAATACTTTTGTCAAATGTGCCTTCATATTATAAAATCATATGTATCTTAAAAATATCTACAGATGTTAAAGATGTAAGAGATAACTGTAATTACCACAGGCCATAATCAAGTAAACACCCCTGCTGTATGTGCAGTAGGCAAAAATAGAAAAAGACCTAGACAAAGTAAAGTAAATATTGTAAAGTACTTAGGAAAAATATTGTGTTAGGTTTTTACTGTTTAGCTGCTCAAATTTTCTGAAATGGCAAGAGATTGATGCGCAAATTTTTTCAGCGACTCTTTTTGACAATTCCACCAATGCTTTTAAATAAAACAAAAGTGGTTTTCAAACCACAATGTAACAAAATCCTTGCTGAACCAAAATCGTTTGGTTCTAGTTTCAACAGTATCACAATTTAGATAGAAAAGTGCCAGAAAAGTGAAATCGAGAACATCAATCTCTCAGCCAATCAGCCATCAGCCCAATGTGTCAAATAGTGACACGCTGGGATTTCTAATATGATAATACTTTTACTAAGATAATGTTGCGGTCTGATTTTACTTTTACATGACTCTTTCTGTTGGGACAAACAATGTGTTATTTATACCCCAGCTTTAAATGTTCAAGAATCAACTAAATGGGTTAAATTGAATTCCTGAGGAAATGAATAAAATCCATGGAATCTGTCTAGACGTACGCAATTGTTATTTCTGTAACATATGTATTTGGTAACACGCTAATCTGCAGTTATTAAGGCCCGTCTGACCTTGCTCCTTTTCTCCACAGTCAAGTCCACATCAGAAACAGTCCGTTAGTGTCTAGTATGAGTATAAAGTAAACAAACAGCTGCCATTCTAATCCCCTACCGAACCCAACACAAGCCTTTTCCATTGCCCGGCCTCACAAATAGATCTCCAGTGCTCCCTAATGCACTCCTGTTTTATTGAATTCCATAACCTCATACTGGCGCTCTAATGAGAGAGCAAAGTGAAACCACGGCTACTGTAAAACCATTATTAGATTTAGGCCCCCAAAAAAAGACTGGATCCGTGACCTACGAGTACCCTCCGGGAGCCCTCCTGTAAAAATGACAAGACAGCAGCCATATTAAAGACTTTATGATCGCGCTTGTCCATAAATGTAGATCTATGCGAGGGGGATAATGGGTTCCAGCAATGGACTCGCCTATATGTATGTGTGTCCGCAGGCATATTCGTATAATTCAATATTTGGACATAATAGATTTATTACATGGGTGAAACATGATAACACTACACAATCATAACTTTGCTGCATGATACACATAAAATGATATAGTTAGAACAATATGATGTGAGGCTAGACTCGAGTATGGTTTTAGAATGCTCTTAGGGCCGTATTTATAGATTTGTGTGCAATTCTGTGCTAAATTCTCTTAATAGATCAATAGGAAATGCTGATTAATCATTTAATGTTAAGGGAGTGCTAAACATGTTTGCATTCCTTTATTTAACCAGGGAAAATCAATGAGATTTCAGATTTTCTTTTTTCACGGGAGTCCTGGCCCCAGCTATGGTAAATGTTTTTAAGTGGCAGGGAAGAGGCCCATAGAAAACCTACACAGACACGGGGAGAACATGCAAACCCTTCTCAGAAAGACTTTGTCCGGAGGTGGAATCAAACCCAGGACCTATTACTGAAAAAGCGAAAGTGCTAACCACTCAGGCAGCATCCCCATTTAACGATCACACAATCAAAAGTCAGCATGTTTGAAAATGTGTATCAGGATATGTAATGTGTGATGCTTTGTGTATATTTGATAACATTATTTTCATATAAATATAAGCATATTTTAATCCAACACATTACAAGCTATGATCTAGATAGAGGTATAAAGAATAAGAAAACAGCTGAAAGTTCCGCTGAGCCCCTTGTGTCTGGCTTAACCTGGCCCCGGCCCCCCAGCTCAGCGGCACATGTAGAGCAGTGATTTAGCAGGCGGACACCACAGTGTTACTAAAGGCTGTGGTTTGACCCTCCAGCGCCTGGATCACAGCTCTGTGTTGGAGCTGAGCCCGGGCGGATCAATAAAGCTGATATATTGGTGTATCGGTTAACCTTTAGGGCCTTTCCACAGAGGCCATTTGGTTTGCATTAGGACACATCTGACTGTGATCCAATACCTGCGCAGGACTCAGCCTAAACACTAAGCAGCTATTACGGAGTTCGGACACATGCATCTGTGCAGAGCATTACTGCGCTGCTGTCACAGCGGGATAAGGACTAGAAGAGTCTCCAAGTCATTATGAAAATGTTACAAGCACAACAATAGTCAGATGACAACATTGATTTGATTATTTTTAAAAGATATATATGCTTTACAACGGAAACACATGTGTTTTATCCTGGAAATGGTCACAAGTAAATCCGCAAATGAATTGTGAAGTTTTGTCACCAAATGATAGCAGTTCAATGCTTTTTAAAAATATATCTTTGCTGTCATATGAAGCCATATGACAGAAAGTATGACATTGTCTGCCTATTTGAAATGTTAGAACCGTTTGCTTCATCCAGCGTCTTCCAAAATTGTATGTTTTTTTGTTTTGTAAAATGGTGTTTTGATTTTTTTTTAACTGATCTATTCATTGGATAAAGCCACTCCCCACTAGTTGTACACAATACGTTCCAATACATTCTTCAGTACAGTCTTGATTTAAATTGGACACATTTACATCAATGCTTCAGTCCTGCTTCAGATCCTGGTTAAGAACCTGGATCTTTGTCACATTCTATACCGAACTAAGGCCGGCCAAGTTCACCCAGGCCGATTCATTTATTGTGTCACACTTCCAAAAGTCTCCAGCAGATGTCAGTGACACCCTATGTTTTCTCCTCCCAGTCCACGGAGCCCCCAGTCCCTGCTTGCACCAGTACATACGGATGTTCACACAGCATTATGCATGAGAAGAATGTGTTCGCGCCTGCTGGTACTCTCGCAGCTGTTCTTAGTCAGGCCCTGCGACTCTTGGAAGACGAATAAAGAGAAACCAGTGTCTGTGTATGTGTATGAGCCTGTGTAAGTATGTGTGTGTCTGTGTGTGTGAGTGTGTGTGTGTTTGTGAGAGAGGGGGGGGTCTCTGTGGTCCCAGGCAATGGAGCGTCACATTGTGGTGGAGGTTGTCTGCTCTTCAACATGGCAGACGCTCCCAGGGTTAGAAGAAACATGATGGATACAATTGTGTGTGTGTGTGTGTGTGTTTTTTGTTGTTGCCCCGTTCACTATACGCTCACGCCGTTGTCATAAATCAGTCAAAGAAAAAGAGGTGGTTCTTTTGGCGAGTACAAAACTAGGAAAGTGTGATGTATGTGGGTTGTGTAGCTCAGCTGCAAAATGTGCGTGGAGGTACTTGGTATGCTATTAGCAAATGTTTTGGCTATCGATGAGAATGTTTTGTAGAAGATTGGCATTTCACCGTTTTGTTAGACAAATTGAAATTCAGATTCAGATTCATTTATTTGCCATTTGCAGTAAAACCACATTGGAAAAACTGTGCAAGACTACCCCAGTGTGCACCAGTTTTTTTTTTTTTTTTCAGTTAGTTAAATGTTAGTATACTGAATATTTTTATACAATAGTATCACAAAATTGGAATGATATTCTATCCAATACATTCATTCAAAAGATGAAATACAGATACAATGTTTTTGGGATTCTGAACTTTTATTCTAATACCGTATACACAATTTGGTCTTTATGCTCATTCAGTTTATAATCATTATTTTTGCTATAATACAAAATACTACTAGTAGTAGTAGTACTACAAGGAAAACAAAAAAGAAACATGAAAGAAGTTACTCTATCATATATAAATGAATGCCATATTAAGAAAGTGAACATTAAAAATCTTGACACTCCACTTCTAAGATGCCCAAAAAAATATTCTAAAGCTGGGGTACCTAAAATGTTTCCCCTCATAAAGATTACATGTTTGTCCTAACTGTCAAACCATTCACAATATTCTCAGAGCTTTGTTTTCCTAATACACTTTTGCCTCCGGCCTGTAGAGGCGCTGTGCCCAGTACTGATGGAGGCCGGAGGAAGACCTACTCTCTGTCAGTGGGGCGTTTACCTGTGCTTCTGCAATGGGAAGATTTGTAACAGATTTCTGTGTTTTTATTATTTTCATCACTAAACAGGGGACATGTTATTGCGTGATGATGATTAATCATAGTTAGACAAATCATTATCTGCTGCTGAGCCCGTCACATCTGAGTCTCTTTTCTCTTCTAATCGATGTCCTAAAGAAGTTTATTTTGACACTGAGCTTGCACACATTTCCTGGTTTTGATTTGAATACTAATTGAATTAGTTAATTAAAATTGAGTCGAATTGCACTAGAATATGACTGAAACCTGCTATCGTGTTAAGCTCCCAATCATATTTTCAATCGAAAAGTGTAAAAGTGAAAAAGTTTAAAAGTTAGAAGTGTAAAGTGTATGTTATCACTTATGTGTCTGAAAAGCTGATCTAAAGATTTGACGGGGGCCCAAAAATACATGCATGTGAAAACTAGTGTTTAGAGAGCGATGAACTATGGTTATTTCATAGTTCAATTTTTGTGGTTTGAAAGTTAGGTACCCCAGCTTTAAAACCCCACTTGTATCTTATTAAGGCAATCACAATTTGTCGTAAATATGAGGCCATTTGTAGCAGTTCACATCCCTGACTGCATTAGCACATGCAAGCTGTAGGGTTGGTGATGCTTTGATCAGGGCTAATGCCATATGCTCTGTAACGGGACAAGGGGCCTGGGCATTTTTCACTTTTATCGAGCGCTCTGACCCCTGGCCCTGGACCCTGCCGCTCAACTTTTCCATCTCTAAGTGGCCCTCACTCTCACTGCCATTACAGAAACACTCACACACTGTGTAGAAATGTAGGGAATGGTAGACTGTAAAGAGGAGATTCTGAGGTGGGTCAGTGAAATGTAATATGGACAGGACTGGTCAGATGAGGCTGTTTTGTTACTGATAATATAAGTATTCGATTCATTGACAAAACTATGATGGAAATATTTTGTTGGCAAAAGTTTTGTGAAACAACACGAGAAAACATGACTTTAGTGTCAACAATAAGGAAATGCATCTTTGTCAACAAATAAAATATATTTTTTTTTTGCGTAGAGATGAAAAATATATTCATTAATTTGGCTAACATGACATCTGATTTGGCTTTGTTTTTTCGTGATGTACCTGTTGCTGTCGTCAGCTGTTGTTACCACAGAGGACATCCTCTCCATCGGACTATTGAAAACGGCCCCAGAACTACACAAGATGATATTCCAGCCGTATTTTATAAAACAGTTATTGGTCCATAAAGACCAACGTTGATTGGAAAGTTTGAACCTCAAGCAAATGGTAATGGAAAAAATATTAACATGGCAATCTATTTTTTTTAACTGATCTATCCCCAAAGAGGTACACAAAGGTTCACTTACATTAAATACTGCAAAAATAAAATATTTTTGTCAATATCGGCCACCTCTACTTTGAACCCAATTTTTTTTCTCTCTACAACGGTGCCTTTAAAAGTATACTTGCATTCATTTAGGAGCTCTCCTCCCACAGACTGAGCGTGTGTGTGTGTGTGCGCGCATTGGTGGTGTCACAATATTGCACTTTAAACTTGATTTTGAAACTAGAAAAAGGGGGCTCAAGGTTTCTTCTGATATAGTTTAAAATGGATTAAAAAATGCCCAAGAAATGTGGTTCCGTTTCCCTTTTTCATATTAGTATCTGGTTCCAAAACCAGTTTTTAGCGGGTGTGCATGTACCTAGCAATGAAAACAAAGTGAATATAATGATAGTTTCATATATATACATATCTTATTTAATTATATATATTATAAATATATATTATATATATCATATAGTAATTATATATAATAATATACGACAATTATACGTAAAGATAGATGATCTAGAGATAGTTGGGAGGATGGATAGATGGCTAGATGGATGGTTAGATACTAGTAAATATCGTTAAATACATAATAACAAACTAATACGTGAAATCCAACATACTGGCTGAATTCTCCCCGATGCTGCTGGTCTTGCCATTCCAGTACCACAGGAGCAGGGTGGCGTCCCGGGACCCCGACAGCACGTAGCAGTCGCCGCCAATGTAGGACTCTGAGCGGGCCAAGCAGGTTACCACGTCCCAGTGCCCAAACACAATCTGGGTCAGCTTTCCTGTACGGACACAATTAAAGAATGTGGTTAGCAGTGGCACTCATTCAGTTTTCGACAGTAATGTTGTGTTTTTAGAGGACATCACAGAAGATTTTTCAGGACCTCTTCCACCATCATTACACATTTTAAAGGGGTACTGGTCTAGACAGCCTCAGTCCTGGTTCTGAAGCCTATCTTTCCGTGGTAGCAGACCCTACTCTTATCGGGGGCCTCTTTAGCCCACCGTTTATTTTTATTATTTTTTTTGTTCCTTGTTGATGCATTAGGAGGGTCCAATGACAGTAATCCGAGACATTCAGGGACATTTATAGACATTTATGGATCCTGCTCCCTATGGACCAATGGCTCTTATGTGTTTGTTATCATTACATTTCCTGTGTGAGAACAGGTTGGTTCTCTGATCTGTTGTTGGTGAATCAACAACTTTGTAAAGTTCTCAGAGACACCTGCTGTTCTGATTTAGAGCTATACACAATTAAATTGAATTGAAGTGAACCAAGGTCAACAAGGTCAAGGCCATATTTTCTCATTCCAACTCAGAATTTGGGTTAGTTGGAAAATCTTTTCTCGAACAACATCTTAGCTTAGATATGAGTTTGTGATGCTCTATGTATGTTTATGTATTCTATGGTTTGGTTGCCAAGCTGATTATCCAACCAGAATGGGTTACCAATTGGTGAATTTCAGCTGGGTTGGTTAGCAAATTGGTAACTGGAGGAGCAGCTATATGAGTGTGTGCTTGAGATGTAGGGCACTGGCAACAAGGGGCGGCCCCAACCTGTCCCCAGTCACATTACTTGGTTGCTAAAGCCGAATTCGGGGAAAGCCCAAAATAGTGAGTATGACAAAGTTACTGAGCAAGAGGAGTTTACTTTTCAATGCAAGTCAACATGAGGAAGAGTGAGTTGGAGCAAAACTTGCATTGAGCTAGGGGGTTAGCACTGCCCGTCTATATACAGTACAGTATATGGTTAATCTTAAAAAGTCATTAATCATACTTACTAAAATTATCTGTGTGCATAATGTTGTATTCCATTGGGGACAAACCACCTCTAAATATTTAGGCAGTACCACGGTTAGCATAGGTTAAAGTGGTAGGGGGTCCAAGACTAGTCTTTTGGGACAAACAACTTCAGCCGACTGGTGGAGGGTTTTACAGTCTTTTAAAACAACTTCTACCGACGTGGGATGAGATGGCTGAAAGCTCTTGAGCCGACACCGCAGGCAAGGTAACCCACCAAGAAATTGAAACTGCTACCTTCAACACGTTTTGCAGGGGTTACCGCCTCCCCTCGGTTACCAATACACTCCACATTGTCATAGTTTGTGTAGTAATAATAAAACAACGAATGATAATTAACAGCAGCATTCTTAGCATTGCTGTGACTCACCGCAGATTGATATTCCCTAATTTGTTGCTCTCCTGTCTAAGTTTGTCCTATCAAGTCCTGAACCGTAGTATAAATATTTGTTTCGGCCTTGTGTATGTGTGTTAGCATGTCCTCCCCTCCTCTGTATAAATAAATATGCTAATTGCAGTCAGATCTCCAAGCTACTCTCTCTACTGTCGGATGCAGTGGATGTGCAGTGACCTCTGCAGTCAAACAGTGGTCTGCGTACAGAAGCACATGTCACCCCACTGTCCACGTCGTGATGAAACCATATCGGTCCCTGGATATTTGAGTCATTATGAGGGGAGGTAGTAGTGGATAGTGCACGGGAAGGAAAACCGAATCAAATACGTGTATAATGTGTTTGATCAGCTTTAAAAATACAGAGGTTAAATAATGAGTTGCTGCAATAATGGCTACCATGCAACACACATTAAACTCACAATGTGGTCTAATCAGGGAAGTGTGGGAGTGAGAAGGAGAGCAGCAAGATGGACGTTTTGGCTCGATTACATGTAAGTTAACAGGGAACAATATGAGAATGTCAGTGTCAGTGTTCAACTTACATTAATGCAGCTAACTAACCAAAGTTATGTCAGATTTAATGTTCAAACCTAGTTTCATATGTTTCAGTCAAGTCTGTGTGTAGAACCAAAGCAATAGATGTCGAAGTGTTGAAGGTAGCAGGTATAATATAGTATACCTGCTAATCCTATAGGATGAGTATTGATCAAGGTTGTTCCTTGTTCACAGTAATATACATTTTAACTTACAAATGAGTCTAGTTATGTAGTCTAAAAACTCTGGCATTTGCAGAATAATAAGGATGAAAAAAATGGTTCTTTAGCAATCGTAAAAGTAATATACCGGCCAGGATTGTTGTTGGTGATACCTCATTACAAAATGTTGAACAAAAGTTAATTTTAAGAATTCTACTACTGGATGTTGTAATAGATTAAATGATCTCTTGGAAAGTTACCAGAGGCAGTCATTTACTCAGCACTTTTGTAGCGGATCATATTTAAATTTGGTATTGAAGTCTAGGGAAACAGTAATAAATCTCACTTAAAGCCAATGATCACCTTGTCCACTATAGACATTCTAATCCTCTATTCATGAAATAAAAATCTATGTATTTAATCTATAAAATCTATCCATTTAGAACTACTACAAAATCAATGAAATTGATGAAAAGACCAAAGTACTAAAGAAGTATATGAAGGAAAGATTTTAATGGAGTATGTGTATGTGATGAGAGAGAGCTGTAGGGTCAGAGATTGTTTGGGCCTGTATCTGAATGTGTGTGTGTGCTTTTTCCGGTGTTGCAGCCTCTGCTTTGTCCTTTTCAATTTGTGCATACAGGTTTTTTGTGTTTATTGCCGTTTGTCTTTTGTACACAAGTTTAGAAAAATACTACTACCTTTATGAAAGTACGATACGTGATCTTAAGTCTACATTCTACATACGTTCCCGGTCCCATGCGAGTCTGCAGTGGCGTGTGCAGATTCCCATTACAAGTCGGCGTGTTGCGTTCACGTGTAGCAATCAGGACATGTAATTGATAAAATCCCTGTTCTTTAACCTGGGGGCTTGTGGGACCCCTGTGTGGCAGCTGTTGAGCCTGTGCGATTAAAGCGTGTTCGTGTTGAGGTGGCAGGCGCACAATAGAGCCATCTCCTCGGCCCCTCCACCCCCCTCAGACGGGACACACACACACAAATTGAATCGGGAGGCTTGTATGGCACTGCAGAGCCCACGTGAGGATGCAGACAGCCTCATTTGGGACCCCTGACCCCCCACTGTCGGTGGGTGAACTCCGCCAGAGTGCAGCTGATAGGGAAAGAGCGCGCTGTTTACAAATGTAGTGTTAGAGAAGCAAAGACATGGTGGTGGTTTCAATAGTGATTGGTATAGCTATTTCAAATCATAAAATAGTTTAGTAGATTTGTAAAGTTACGGTTTGCATTTCATCCTGATCCTGTGTATTTGCATATCCAAACAACATTTTAGAAGTGACTTTGAAATCCCCCCCAAAAAAACAAAACATTAGCAATAAAATCCATGTCTTATCTTGTTCCATGCTCTAAAAACAGTTTGGTTTTATCACTAGTTTTCACATTCGTGTACTGCATATTTGGTCAAAAATAAGAAAATAGCCAGAATAGAATGATATGTACTTTTGCATTATTTATAGATATAGTAAACACTAGTGTATGCTACATAGACGTCGATGAGGTAAAATGTCGGAGCTAAGCACTACATTTCCTTCAGTTTTGACCACTTTATTGTGGAAAGTCAAATGTTGTAAAAAGTGGTTCTATAAGAAAACCAGAGCAAATGTGCGATCTGTGTTTCATGGCCATAGAGTTACATTATAAATATACTGCAGTGTGGTGTTTCACAAAACCACTTCCAAATGTGGCCTGTGGGTTAGCCGCAAACCAAGCAGTGAGTTTAATTATTTTGAAGCAAGGACTTGAATATCCCTGTATTTAGCTTTAAAAATAAATATGACTCGAGAGCTGAGATGAGGGGATGACCTACAGAGATATACATGTGGGGCGGGCATCAGAGCGAACCCATGGCCGGTGATTATAAGAAGCAGGATTTGATTTGCTTAAATAACAGTATAATGTGATGATAGCAGGGCAGGGTTAGGTCTTTTCTGTGTTATGGCAACATGATAAAAGTAAGTACATCTATTTTTGTTAAATTAAAAGTCTATATACACTTGTACTTGAACGTTAACACACTCAGCCGTAGATTCAAAAGTTTTGGCCATGTTTAGGATTATGATTTTTATCCCCTTCCCATCATTAGAGATCGTGTGAAGCCGTATACTGTCAATACAAAATTATGACATCATTGATCCAATCTGTGGAGAGGTTAAATGTGCCATTCTGTATGAAACGCAGCTCAGGAATGTACAGGAATGTACAGGAACTGGGGGCTTTTTACCAAGAAGAATGAGCAGCATCACAATCAGAGAAGATACGAAACCACATCCACAACGACCCCAAACAATGTCAAGTTCTCCGAATGAGAATATGGGGATGGAGACTCAAATCAGGGTCAGAAGAGTAGTTTTTTTTTTTGATGGGACATTTTGCATCTGTCACCCCATAAGTTGCAGTCACAAACCCAGTCATTCATTATGAACTATTGTACATTTGTTTGATGGTAGGGGAAAAATGGCGTCACACAATCACTAACAGTGAGTAAAAAAAGTATAGAAGTACCAGGTGATATAACATTTAGCACTGTTGAACATGGTACCTGTATCCGTGGAATAGATGCGGAAGCTCTTGTCCCAGAAACCGCAGAGGACGATGAAGCGATTATCAGCCGTTATGATAAAACACTGGGAGCTGATCTGGATGCTCTGGTCCAGCAGGTCTGAGATCTGCCGCCGGTGACTTCCCACACTAGTGGCTACAAAAAGTACAAAAACATTTTAAATACAATACCCCAGGTTAAAATACCACTAGGTGGATTCCATCCGTAATCAGAGCTTGAGAGCTACATGTATCACAGGCAGGAGGATTCTGGCAACTAAAGTGCATATTACATATATCCCCTTTAAGGTCACTATGTTGTCCGACCTTTACTCAACAAATGAAATATGAACACTTTTGTTTATCCAGTGCCTATACATTACAGTGGGGGAAAAAAAGAGCTTATATTACAACATGTAGTATACGTGTGCTCTGCAAATTGGTGTGGGCTTAAGAAAACATCTCTGCTTTCTGTAAGTGCCGTCGTTTTTCTTATTTGTTGGTGTTACAAGTCCCATATATCTGCCCAGAGTAATCCTGAAGCCTCCCCTGAGACCCAGCTGGCCTCCGAGCTCATCCCTGCTTTACTGTGTTTAGCTCAAGCTACGTGCGGAATGCAAACAGTAGAAATATATTAGTGACAAGAGCTGCGAATCCCACGATTACTCCCAAAAACATATTCACACACTACGTGGAGGATTTAAGGTTTCTTATACAATCTCATGTCACGTCAGAGGAGGATTCAGGTGCAGAGGTCTGTTCCCAGGACCGCAACTTATAGCATGAGTTGACTAATGTTTGAAATATAAGCACACTCAGAAAAAGTTAGTAGCTCATACAGGATTTTTGCCTTTTGTTTTTTTTTTTACAACAGATTATATATTTAGAACGTACAAGTGTGTTCCAGAAGGAAGTCATTCAGACATAATGGTATGTATCCAGGTAAATTTTAATAGACATATTTAAATTGCAAATTCCACATAGAAGAGAAAGAAAGCTGGCCCCGCCTCTGCAGATATAAACGAGAGCTATGCTACTCCTGCTGCTACAGCCGCTTAAGCGGCTGCTGTTTCTGCTGCTGTCACCAGCTCCTCTCCCTCATCAACAAGTTGTGAGGGATGAGAGGCAGCCATATTGTCACGGCACCTTCTCAATCACGTATTCTCTCCCCATTCGTATTCATTCCCTCGTCCTTTAGCCCCGTGTTTCAAATTTAAGCAAAGAGAACGCAGCAGGGTAGGTTGGGGAGGGCCCTGGGTTGAGGCAGAGGTACTGTGGGTGGGGGGGTCTGGTGATGAAATGCCGGCCTAGGCCACAGCTCATTGCGTTTCAATTTGCATGCAAATGTTTCAGCGTGCGCCTATATCATGAACTGGAGCGGAGGGATGAGCAACAACTGTAGTCAGACTGCAGAGGGAGGCGTCAGCCACAAGTCGCACAGAGATTCATGTGTTAGATCGTGAATTGGAAATGGGTTTTGTATGCGCAGACAATACCTATGAGAGGGTCAATCTCCACGGGAAGTTGGTAGTGCTGGTCCTGCGTAGTGGAGCTCTGGTGACCTGATGGATGAGAAGAAAGACGACGATTAAAATGAAGTCGGTTTATACGTGGGCTGGAAATCACAGACACAAAGTCACAGTGTCACCAATAGATCAGGGAAAAGCATTAGTCCAAAGGTTGTCCTCATAAAAAAACACTGTCCGCGTGGAGTGAAGTGGTTTACAAAAAGAAAAATTAGATTTCAATAAATAAATATAAATGAGACCCTTTGTCATTGTAAAATACAGGGCGTGCAAAACATGTTTGAGCTAAACAAAAGAAAAAGGATCATCCATTTGAAGACACTGAATAAGCTGTGCATACAACTCATCCTATTTCGTACAGTTTATTTGTTTTTAAGACCTCATTTTACTAAGAGTTTTACGCCCAATACTTTTTTTGTATGCTGCGAACCACCAGAAAAATACAAGTCTTCTGCTGAGAAACAATCCCAGACCTTTCATTTTCATTTAATTTCATTCATTTTCTTCAGAGGTAATAATATTGTAATAATCTTTGAAATTTCCCAGAAATCTTGTAAAAATATGATACAGGCTTCTACTCTGACAATGTTTAAATACAGGTTGAAAACAGTTCTATTTAGCTGTGCTGTATCTCCACTCTGTTTTAGCTCACTGTGATCTATTATTTGAATGCCTTTTATGATATCTTTCGGTTTTGTTAAGCAATTTGAGTTGCTTTGTGCATGAACTGTGCTATACAAATAAACTTGCCTTGCGATAGACTTGGAGTTAGAACTAGGATCACATTATAAATCATATCAGCAAAAATTCAAAGCTGAAAGAAATGTCATTTTTAATTGCAGTCAAAAATAATGAAGTGCATGTCCTCCATCTTTGCAACAGCTCAACACGACAAAAACAAGAAGCTAATTTGCATCTTTCCATTTTTCTGTTTTATGATATGCACATTTATATTTGTCCCACTGTCCACATAGCGCATAATAAATCTACACAATTAACAGTGCGTCTGGTTGGGCAGACATCAGCTTTATTATCCCAATTAGATTTATCAGGCCGGCTTACAGAGCACGCCGATGACACTGTATTGTCCTGCGCCCAATCAGTCTTGACGCTCATAAATCGCATGTTCTCAAACGTAATGTGATGTGGAGTAAATGCGCTGTGGACGGCAGGCTGATGTATGGGGCCGGACATGAGACCGAACGCTGCCTGCTCCGAGTGTCACATCTGATCCTCCACATGTCCACACGCTCCATCACTGTCCATGCTCTGAGATGTGTGCACAGGAGAGAAGCCAGCAGAATTTACATGTTTAAGAAGACATCTAAGACTTTAAATCATATTACAACATTGTTCCCTCAACAAAAACAGACCTGCAGTTGTCAAACGCTAATATCAGGAACTTCTGGCACAAATATGTAACTTCGCCCCTTCTGTTTAAAAGCTCCTGTCTCCGTCCTGTAATAGTACGATGTTGTTGTACCATTATGATTCACCTCAATTCAATGTAATCTTGTATAACCCTAAATGACAACAGTAGTTATCTCGGAGAACTTTACAAAACCGTTGAATTCGCCAACACGGATCAGAGAATAAAACAGTTCAGACACAAGAAATGCAATGATTAATACACAGAGAGCCATTGGTCCATAAACGGCAGATGATCAATGTCCATAAATGTTGAATGTCGAGTGTCCTGGATCATCACCCCTGTCCTTAGACCCTCCTACATCGGCAAGTAAAAACTCTAATAAAACGACATTCTCTGCCTTTTAAAATTTAAGTATTGACCATAAATTAGTTTGACGAATGCGTTCTTTTTGTCATGTAGTTGTGGTTGCAGCAGATAATTTAATATTTTTAAGAATAAACAAATCTGCAGTTCTTCTTTAGCAGACCCTGGGTAGTGGTGTTGTGGTTATTCATTTAAAGAAAGTGTTGCATTCTAAAGTTCACAAAATGCATGTTTAATTATGTTGGGACATACAAAATGTGTATGAAACAAAGAAAAAGAACTCCATCTTCAAAGCCTGAGCGCTGAGCGTACATTGACAATAGGAAATAAACACATCTCAAATATGATTAATTGCATGTATGCGGTCATTATACACATGGAACTAAATGTGCACAATTCAAACAAAGAATCTTTTATAGGGAGAGAATGTAATATTTTTTATTTAAAATTACATCTACATATTGTTTATGTTCCCAGATAAGAGATCAAAATGACCTTTTCTGAACAAAAGTTTAAAGTAGAGTTATTGTCCAATCAGAGAGAAGAATGAGTCTCATATTAGGGTTTCCAGTTTGTTAAAGTTAACTGGTCTTAGCCGTTTCTTTATATTTATATGCTTGTGTGTATATGTATACAAAACTGCACTCACAAAAATAGCCCCACACATTTGTTTAATTGAAAGCAGGTACAAAAATAAGTAGTCAACCCAGCAGGTGGATTGGTGCTGAGGAGCTACATGAGTGCAGGAAGCAGGAAGTTTCTGGCAACGAGTGTGATTGTAATATTCTTATTACTACATTATTTCATTATTACATACTCCATTAATTTGATAATTCGATTCTGATAATGCACCAGTCACTTTACCTGCTGATACTATTACTATTATTTCTATTGTTTATTCTGGTCATATTCTCTGCTTCTAAAGTACAATACTGACCAGGTCTGCAAACTAGCTGTAAGCGATTCAGCCTATGAACATAGCATCGGTTCCTGTAACAATGCTTCTTGTTCTGTCTCTATCAAATAAAAATAATAACAATAAAATAATATAAACATCTGTAAACCTCATGATGCTGCTGACTACAGTGTGTGCTCCTCAAGTGACTTATCCTTGAACCAAGTACAATTATTATTTTATTTTATTATCTATTATCTTAAATAATGCAACTCCTTTTATTCTGATGCAATGTGCGCAACGATGAATTTAAATTTCTCCACTGAGGGACGAGTAGGAGTTTATCTTATCTAATTGTAATGACTTTATAAGACCACTAATAGTGCATATTACATTTGGTCACTTGAAAGGGAAAATTTGAAAAGACATGGATGCGAGGCGTCTTACCTGCTAACCCGTGCCACTTGTTAACGGCGAACAGGCGGCTGGCGGTGACTGTGATGATAGCCGGAGAGGACAGGCCGGCCTGCGTGTTGGCCGCCACGTGGGTGACCGGGGAGTTGGACGGGAACTTGAGCACCATGATGACGTCCTGCTGCATCTGCTCCGTGAACATGAGCGGGGTCTGCAGGAGAAGATACTGTTCAGGCCCCACCGACACGCCAACGACACACAAATGGGAAAAAGATGAGAAAGAGGAGGGTGAAAACGAAAAGAAAAAAACCAAAACAATAGAAGATGAGAGGGAGAGGCAGCCGGTATTAATGATAACAGATGAAAACACAGAGAGAAGAAGGGAGGGCACAGAGAGAAGAAGATAGTTAGGAGACTAAAGCAGAAGCAGAAGAGGGTCAGGGTTTAAAAACAAAGCTTCAGAGAGTAATAAGGAAAAGCTCAGGGAAGAAAAGATTTACAGATAGAAATTGATGCTTAGATAAATATAACAGGATAGATACAGTCAAGTTCAAGTTATGGCTACTACGTAATAAGATCCAAAAGGCATTCTATATGAGGAGATTTACTATTCTTTGATGTCCAATGAAAACATCATTGAATATCAGTACCATAAGGGGCTTTTGAAATAGAACATTAAAATAAAAAAGGAGGCATGTTCAAAAGCACAAAACCAAGTCATGTCATTGTGTGTGAGGAGATTCCTAACATTGGCTGTTGTTGCAAATTTTGCATATTTTAAAATCTGGGGAAAATTTGAAGCGTATTTTTTACTAATTTGATAGGGACAACGCATTCATACATAGTTACACCAAAAAAAAAAAATCAATCAATCAATCAACTTTTATTTGTATGGCGCCTTTCTAACTCAAGGCAACTCAAAGCGCCTCACAACCCACATCATATCAAACAAATCAGAAACATTAAAATCTACATATACAAAAAATTACATTAAAAACACACACGGGATTAAAAAATAAATAGCCTCAATGCATAAAAAAAAAAAAAAAGTATCTATAATCTATAAAATCCTTCAGCTGTACGCATAGCTAAACAGAACAGTTTTTAACCTTGATTTGAAAACTGCCAGAGTAGATGCTAGCCTCACATCTTCAGGAAGATTGTTCCAGATTTTAGCTGCATTTATCTGAAACGCTGCCTCGCCATACATATACAGTAGTACATTTTATACGAAAACACAATCTTAAATATCTATTCAGAACAGTGCTTACACATACCAACATGCACACTGTCTCACTTATTCCTCAATGAGCTCCATATCTTTGTTTTGTATTATCATCAGGCATTTTGAGATTCTTTCATCTTATACTGTATCTCCGGTGAATCAAGAGGAGGGAAAAAACAAGCAATGAACTACAACTCAATCTGTACACAAACCCAGCACATGTATTGTGTATTGTGTGTCTTGTTGTCGGAGCACTTACAGCCTGTATAGAGTCATTCGGAGCGTGTTTGTGCTAAGCAGCTGAAGCGGAGTTTCCCTGTTTGCGTGTAAAGGAGAGCGTTGGTGTTTAACATGAGGAGCGCAGCAGAGGAAATCCAGCGTGTGTGACAGCTAACCAGACACTCTGACAGAATCATTACCACCAGCACCAGGACGCGCTGACACCACACTCTGCTCAAGAGAGGACTGTGACGAACAAGTGGACTCCAGGACATCAAGGAGAACGTATTCGGCAACGCACACTTTTAATAAAGTGTAGCAATAAAAGTACACTAGAAACAAAAGTAACTGTAACATAACCCATAACTTAAATCTACAATTAAACTTTAATCGTATGTAATATTTCAATCTTAAATTACATCTACAATGTTTATAGGTCAACATGTACATTTTGTGTTGGATCTTTTCTACACAAAGGTTTAAAGTTGAGTTATTATTAATAAAAAAAATTAGTATGGAAGCAGACTATCCAATCAGAGCAGAATGAGCAGGTGTGACTCCCAGGCGGCAAAGGGGCTTTCTGAGCGTAGTGCCATTCAGAAAGGCCCTTTGCCTCATGTAGAATGGCATGAAAACTAGCCTTGAGCCTTTATTCGTCCCCATAAATATAAAAGATAAATTATATATATATATATATATATGTATATATATATATATATATATATATTATGGTCCTGACAGATTATTAGCACATAATATTGGGGAACATGATTATTTCATAATCATGTTATGATTATGAAATACTGAAAAAAATGTTAAGTTTATTTAGAATAGCAACCATTTTCAATCCCCACTTTTTTTAAAGTAATATTTTTCTGGAAACTGCAAATTTAAAGCTGGGCACCTATCTCTTGGGCTGAGAGCTTATTTGCTGAGTGAGGGCAGCCCTCTCTTTTCCCCTTTTTTAGTGTTCTGTCAGAAAAAGCTGATCTATAGATGTGACAGAAGCAAAAAAATACATGCATGTAAAAACTAGAGATTTTTTTCAGATTTTTTTGAGAGCGAGGAACTAGTTACATGGATTTTATGACATTTTCATTTGTTTGTGGTTTGAAAGTTAGAAACCCCAGCGTTAATATCCATGTCTTAAGCCGAAATAGCGTGTCCTGTGATATTGCTTGTAACCCAGCCTGAAAGCAGCAGTGTGGGTCAGTGAGTGTGCGTGCTGGGCGGTGGTCTCCAGGCAGCTGTCATCGCCACAGGGACACCACGCTAATAAGGACTCTAGGGGCTCCTGCCCATCACAAGCAGCCACTGAGGGTCCTTCGTCTGCCCCTGGAAACGTGCCACTTCACTGCTACTTCGCTGATCTGGGTTCAGGTGGAAAAACTGGCTCCGGACCAGAATTCTACAATCCCCTTTCCGCACACACCTCACTAATGATGAGACACGAGATGCTTTCAAATCCAAGACTGCATTTTCCCAGCACTGTCAAGATGGAAATGCATGAAAAATAGGAATAACAAGATAGATTGGGGGGGGGGGGGGGGGGGGGGAGAATCTAATGTCTAATAGTGTGCCAACATGAGCACAGATGAGAAATCAAAGCTGGGGTGAATGGGGTAGTGGAAGGGTTTAAACTGGAGCGGAGCTGGCCCTTGATGCTGCTCAGACAGAGGGATTACAGCGCAGCGTTTTGGAGGAGACGAGCTCAGATTGTCTGGTTCCACTCACCACTTGCATGGCGGAGCTGCGGGGCGGGTGGGGTTCAATGAGGAGCTGGCAGGGGGTCTGTCCAAAACTCCGGATCTGGGACTCCACAGCCTGGGAAGGAACAAAAGTGTGATCAAATACATAATACAAAACTAACCAAACAGGCAACATATATGACTAGCCAATGTATTCCCTACTTGGATATTATCCATAATTCTTTGGACCTTGGGGGGGGAGAAAGTATACACAAAGAACAAAAGCAGTTGAAGTTTAGTTCTCCCTTAGACTTCTCTGTAGATCTTTCGGCAAAAGTGCAAGGTCCCAATTTCAGTTGCTGGAGCATTTAAGAACACACTCATTCTTTGGCAGTAGCTATTAGGGCTGTAACAAGTTAATCAATTAATCACACTAATCGATTATTGAAATAGTTTAGAGCTATATTAGTAATCTATTTCAGTGGTCCCTATTTATTGCTTATTATAGTTTATTGCAGGGGTTGAGTTCTAAAAATAACCCGCAAAAAGCAAAAGCCGTAAAGTAGCCGCAACATCTTTTAAGGCTGTTAAACCCCTCACTAAACTGATCCCAAACATATCAAACCTGTCCATTGTAGGTCTGAGCGCTGCTGCAGCTGTCAAAAGCCGCGCAAACACTGTAAAATTAAGCTGCAGAGGACACTGCGCAGCGGGGCAGGAGCAGGATTGAGGGATACAGGATTACCGCGGTTGTCCTTTGAACTGAAAGTAAAGCTGAATAATCTACAGCTCGCTACCCATAACCCCAAAGGCATTATGCTATTGCACACGTAGAGTAAAAATATCCTATCTGCATCCATGAAAACAATGGCATGTCATACCCACAAGCGAAAAAGAAGGGCTTAATACTACAACACATTATCTAGAATTTACACAAAAACCTGAGGCAGATTCATTCAGGTTAATTATTAAATAAATCCAGAGATAAATACACGTACGCAGGCTCAATTTTTTCATTTAGATTTGCAAAAGGAGAAAATAGCAGAGATAGTATTGGAAACATCCACCATAAGAGTGAGTGTGGAGGAGGCAAGAGGGCTGGTTAGCTGGTGTTAATGAAGAGGCATAGGGCCATAAATGTCAGAGCCGCCGCCACCCGCAGCCTCTGGACATCATCAGACCCACCATCAGGCTCCATGTCTGAGTACAAGACTTTAGCCACAATCAGCAGTATTGTCAAGATGACGACAGCAAAACAAAAAGCAACAAAAAGAGACAACTGCTACCAACTTCTCTTCGGCAACTTTGAAAATATATCAAACAGTGGGAGTTACAGTGTGTCCAATCACAGCTGTGAGAAAGAAACGTGGTGATTGTTTTTCAAACCAGGTCTGTTTAGCCGTTTTGAAGGATTATGAAGGTTTGCCAAAACTGCTGCCATTTTGTTCCGGTGCAGAACCAGTGTGGTCATATAACGTTCACCACTAAAGCTTTTCGAACCATGTGATAACTGTATGGTTTTCACTGCTTGGTGCATGCACAGGGAAAGCTGAAAGCACTTTTTCAGTTTTCCAGCTCGAGGACCTGAATGGAAAAGATAAGCCACTAGCAGACATTATTATTTACTGTCTATAGTTAACAAATACATACTGAGACTGTATCATAAGAGTTTTAAACTAGACAATAAAATCCCTCCATTTCTTCATGTAACTGAACATCCTGGGTTCAATTCCGCCTTCAGACGGGTGTGCAGTTGGCATGTTCTCCCTGAGTCTCCCCAAGTTTCTTCTGAGTGCTCTGGTTTCCCTTACCACTAAAAACATGTACTATAGTCTGTCTGAAACCTCAGTGGGACTTTCCTGTTTAAATAAATTAATAATGATCTGCGAATACTTTTGTTGCCATGGAGAGGTTACTTCTCCAATTGAAATATTTATTATTTTAGTCATTATTACAGTATTCTTTGTTTGAGCACATAAAGATTCAGTCAATGGTTTATTCAGACGCAATTTTTGAAATACTGTGGGGAAACTTCCCTAAACCCCAAAAGTAGTCAAGTTATGATGTTTTCAAATAGGAATTGTAACCTCAAAACCTAAATCATAAATATTTTGGAGCGGACCGATAGAAATAAACCAAGAGGATGAGTTCATCCCCTTGCCCCCCCTCCTGCTTCTCGTCAGTGCACGCACCTGTCTGAGTTGTTAATGAGTCAGATTTTCTAAAACACCCACAATGGCTAAACAGAAAACCCTCAAAGTGACAATTTCACATTTGCCACTCGCCCTGTTGTGGCAGAGAAGAGAAAATCTGATGAGGAAAATGCGTTGTATAAGAAGATTCGGGATGCAGCCAGGGCTATGTAATGCCCAGTCAGTCATAAATCCACCATGTGCAACAGAACATTGGGCAGTTTTAGGTTTGGACCTGTATATTTAAAAAATATAAAACATAAGAAAACAAAGAAAAAAGGAGAAAATGCAAGCTAAAAAAAAAAGGTGCTAGCATTTGAAATTCTTATTTACAAAGATTGCAAAATAACCACATTCAGTAAGTTTGACTATTACCCTTAACCAGATTAGGCAGTAACAACTGTGAGGAAAGTCAGATTTTTTTGAGAATGAGCTCATGACTAAAGCCTGTGTGAGAAAACAGCCAGGGGAAGTGCATCTGCTCAGAACCCAAATCTGAAACTAACCAGAGTTCAGAGGCAAAGCAAGGAGCAAGTACTACTGTTCACACCACAGCACTCAACACTTAGGAGTTAGCACCACCTAAGCATGGAACAATACAGGAAGTAAAAAGCTATTCCGAGAATCTATCTTATCTTTTATTCCATTGGTTCATAAATGCATTTTGTTTGTCCTAACAGAAAGACACTTGTTTATGTAACATGTTTGACGTCTTTAAATTCACAAAAAATGACCCCCCTCCGTATTTGAAATGCAAAGCGTCCACACGGCGAGGGAAAACAATGTAGTGGGCAGTGGAACTTTACAATGAGAAACGTGCAACATAATCCTTCCTTAACAACATCTTCCTCAGATCATTCTACATTTAATAGTCGCAACGAAAATGGAAATTGTAGCTACAGCTTTGCATGTTTTGTTTGGACGGATGAAGGAGTAGAATTTTTCTGGGTAGCCCACGTGAATTTAGTCTTCAGTACCGCGGGCGCCCCCTCTGCCCATTGGTGGGACAGCTATAAACTGGCAATACTCTATTCAGATATTATTATAGATCCATGAATGTAAATGCTGAAGCACACAGCACAACTTGATCAGCCGCCATTGCTGTTTATGTTTTTTCTCCACAGTGCATGTACTGTATGAGGGGGAGGAGTTTGCACATTTTTCTTCATATGGCTGTGACACGGCCCCCTGCTCCGCAACGCAGCCATTTTGTTCCACTCTGGAGGCTGTTTCTCCAAGCTTGCGTTTTCACCCCCATGAAACATTGACCAGGCCAACCCCATAGTCGACTCTTCCGTTTTTATAGATGGATTTTATTACAGAGTTACTTTGTTGTTATTTCAAAGTGAGATACCCTAGCTATTGGTTATGATAATTAATTTAGAAACCTACAGCTTTATTTATTTTTCATAATAATGTGAATGGAAAAACCTTGTGAGTTTATAATTGGGATTGCAGTTCCTTGTCAATACCAGAAAGCAGGCAGTATACAGTTCTTTTTTACATATGTAAAATTAGAATATAGATTTCCACCCATAGCATTATAAGTTAGCTCACTAATCCATTTTAACAGCCCCTCTAAACCCTAAAATCCTTCTCACCTCCATGATTGCCCATGTTAATCCTCTATTCTCGGCTTCACAGAAGTCGTTTATAGGTGGCATGTGAAGGTCACTCTGTCCCCCTTTCCCTTGGCCTTCAGCTCTCTATATTTTGCCAGGGCTAATATGAGGAAGAGTCTCCCCAGAACCACTCAACCCATCTTCATTAGGTCTAGTGCTGACATTTATGGAGGCGATGGAACTCTTAAAACTACTGCAGCCTAGGTCATCACGTCCTACCCCTATAGTGCCAGTGCGACGCTCAGCTGATTATACGAGGGGCACAGGCAAGGCCAATCTCCTCCAGGAGCGCTGGCCCGAGTCTGATGAGGGCCTTCTATATTCTATACATTTAAATGGCCTCTGACGTCTAGCCGTGCTTTTTGATTTACTTAGCTGTTAGACAAGAGCATGTAAAACCGACTGCGGGTGTGTGATGCAAATCAACGTAACGCCTCGGAATAAAGGGTCTATGAATAAGCCTGTGCGGAAGGCCACTGTTAGTCATATGCCTGAATGTGTGCTTTATGTCCCATAGAAAAAGATCATTCAAATTGAACAGTGGACCTTGAGTTTGGGAAATGAATAGGTATTTGCGACATGTCAGATTTATATTCATTTCTTTTTCTCTATGGACCTATTCAGGCTCTACATACTTTAGGAGATGTTTACTGTATGTGCAGGATTTAATAGAAAACCCAGAGTAGTATTTTATTATAATCCGTGTGATCACGGATTCATTATATTTGGCTAATGCACTATCCATGCAAACCATTATCTTTTGAGGTAAATAATTTGTTTACTAAAGTGGGGTCTGGGGGGCCTCAGAGCCGCTGCAAAGGTTGTCCAATAAGCGGTGAGGTTGTTGATATAGATTACTTTTATATGATGAATAACTACACTTTACCTTTTTCAGAGAGGTAGTGGGTAAGTAAGTATAGTAATACTATACTGTAGTACTATAGTATAGTAACATAGCGCCTTTCAGGAAACGCTTTAAAATAGTTGCGGGCATTTGTCTTTCACTCCACACAGAGATGGGAGAAGGGTTGCCACCCAAGGGGGAGCATGCCAGACCTATGGTACATGTTTTTAGTGGTAGGGAAAACCTGAGCACCCGGAGGAAACCTATGCAGGCACAGGGAGAACAAGCAAATTCCACAGAGAAAGGTCCTGGAGGACTGCTGTGAAGCTCAAGCGCTAACCTGCACCATGGTGCCTCCCATATGTAATATACACTATTATTGCATTGAAATGATCAAAAATTAGATAAAAAAATATATTTGTAAAGAACAATTGTAATGTTTTTACATATCCTTCAAATAATCTGTGCTTGATACAAG